CAATCTGGGACCCCTCGGGGAATGTTGGAGAGCCAGGCCGAGGGACCCCACTGATGCACTAATCTGTGCACCGGGCCTCTAGTATTTTAATAACTATGTATTGTGCCATGTGGGTATTGAAATATCAGAGCAATCACTTTGTAAACTATACGACTGTTTAACCACTATACTGTACATCTGAAATTAATATAAAATAATGTTGATGTAAACTTTAATTGAAAAATAAAAACGCTTTACTCTTTAAAAAGCAGTTTTAGTTTCACAGAAAAATTAAGAGAAAAGTACAAAGATATCCTCCCACAAAGAACTAGACTAAAAAAAATTCATTCTCATCTTCAGAATTTTCTGTCTCTCACAGCATGTAGAATATTTTTTTAGCATTCGCATCACAGTTTAAATTAGCATGTGGAGGACAGTAAAACCACTCTTAACCTTGACCTGATCTTTCCAGTCATGTAGCCACTAGGCCACTGTGGCTATTTAAATGTGGCAAGTGTGATGGAGAAACTGAGTATCTCCTTTTAGTGCTTACTGTTAATAAACTTAAACTGAAAATTCACTGAAAAATTTTAATTCTGCTGCTTATTTTTCACCTCGAGTCCTAACCTTTAGTCTAAGGTATCACACTTATTCTTCTGATCCTCAAGATGTGGAGTATGCAGCAAGAAATCAAAAAACAAATGTTACCAATTTTTTTAGTCATTGTAAAAAGAGATTAAAAGCAAACCAGAAAGCCAAATACTTTTGTCTATACTGAAAATTTGAAAATTACCATTTAGGATGATTTATTTACATATTATTATGCCACTATACTTTATAATAACCAGAAGGCAGCCTGATCTAGCTAGTGGAAAGGGGACTCACTGGGTGGGTACTAATAGGGGACTAATACTAGAACTCAATTCCTGGGTATGTCACTTACTAGCTGTGTGACACTGGGCAAGTTCAGTTCTCCAAACCTTAGTGTTACTCTTTTTTAAAATAGAGGCTGGGTCTCTGGATTGTTCAAGTTAGATGACAAAATCTATGGAATGGGCCTAGTCCAGTTTCTGGAAATGGTAAACTATGAAGAAAAGTTGGTTTCTCACCCTTAAGGGCCAAACACAATTATTTTTTAAAACTACTTAAGGGAACTCCCCATTAGTTCTACCAGGCCCCTGTTATTGCCCACTATCAGGAAGCATAGCTCTTGCCATTTGCAGGACTGCCAGCTGCCTCAGTCCCGGGAGGCAGAATGGGGCTCCACTGGCATTGGCACTGCCCTGCAGCCTGCACAGTGGCACATTCTCTGCCTCTCTGCAATTCCATGAGCTGTGCTTTAGCTGCCTGATCAGTCATCAGGAAGCAAATATTATTTCCTTGGTGTTGGATAGAAAGTGTTGGGCTATAAATTAAAACTCAGCATGTAAGATGAATGCTCAGATTAAGGTTCTAATATTCAGGCTTCTGTTGAAAATGATGTTTTGGTTGCAAAGCATAAATTAAGATATTAATAAGTAAAATACTAATATCAATCTATCGTGATTTTATGTACTTGAGAAAATTTTTCATGTATATTAACCTCTTTTCTAATTTTCTTTTCTAGTTTTTATATGAAAATCTAATGTATATTCATTTGTGGTTAAATGTTTTAAGATTTTTGTCACCTATTCTTTATTTCATCTTGATTTTCTTTTTTTTTAATTTGTTTATTGGTGAAAGTATAACAGATGTCCCCTTTTTTCCCCATTTACCCCCTCTACCCTGCACCCACCCCTCCCAGGCCTTCACCATGCTATTGTCTGTGTTCATGGGCTATGCATATATGCATATAAGTTTCCCAGTCATTTCATCTTGATTTTCATCCACTGTTTCCTTCTGTCAAGCACTTTGGGTTTTACAGCTTGACTGATGCTTCTAAACAGATTCATATTGCCTAATGCACATTTGTATGAAAATGTACAGAATTCATTTGGTGTGTTTTTTTACATTTCTTTCCCTTGTTTATTTGTTTTTACTTGAGGCACCCCATATCTGCATTAGGAAGACCATTTTAATACATTTTAAAAATCTTAGATTTGTAACAAGACAGATCTCACTTATTCTTCCCTTGCTTTCTAATGCAGCAAGTTGCTGACATATCATCAGTAAATCTGTCTTGGCTGCTGAGGGCAAGAAGAAAGGCTATTCATGGGCAGTGTGATAAGCAGAAAATACAAAGATCATTTGAGTAGTTTAGTTAAAATTGTCCTTCTTAAGGAGCTTATAAAAATATTATTTAATGTTTCTGAGATAAATTATTTATAACTTTGAGTATAATTTACTAAATATATAATATTCAACTGTCTACAGAATGTATCTGATCATAAAAGGCCATCCTATATAATAAAAGGCTAATATGCAAATCGGCTGAACAACAGAATGACCAGTCGCTATGACGCACACTGACCACCCGAGGGCAGACGCTCAATGCAGGAGCTGTCCCCTGGTGGTTAGTGTGCTCCCACAGGGGGAGCACTGCTCAGTCAGAAGCCCTGAGCCCGGCTCATGACTGGCAAGTGCAGTGGCTCCCCAGCAGCACTAAGGATGTCAGACTGCTGGCTTGGGAGCAGGCCTAAGCCGTCAGTCAGACATCCCCCAAGGGCCCCCGGACTGTGAGAGGATGGAGGCCGGGCTGAGGAAACCCCCCCCCCCCCTGAGCGCATGAATTTCATGCACCGGGCCTCTAGTCTACTATAAAAAGAATATTTATTTGTAGATGAATTTACATTATCTGAGTGGGTTTTGTTGGTTTAAACATTTCCGTTTTCACAGGCGTTATTGGCATTTTTTCTCCAGTGGGTCTTTCTAGGGTTAGGCGAGTTAAACCCATTATACTCATAACAGTGTCATTCCTGCCACAGTTTTAACTATCATGCTGTCTTTCCCTGTCTCCTCCTATTTTTCCTTGCTTGTCTTCTATCATGCAGTGCTGATACCAAGTTTACAGACCATATGGGTGAATCATTCCTTTGACATACAGGTGTGGTGCAAAGACTTCGGCTGGGACCTTCTGTGGCTGTGACCTGGTGAACTGGCTAATTGAAGTTGGCCTCGCCTCTGACCGTGGTGAAGCTGTTATATATGGAGACAGACTGGTGCAAGGAGGAGTCATCCAACACATCACCAATGACTATGAATTTCGGGATGAGTACTTGTTTTACAGATTTCTTCAAAAGAGCCCTGAACAGAGTCCTCCTGCTATTAATGCAACCACAACCCAGCAGGAAAGATATAAAGCAATTGAGCATTCATCTCTATCGCCTAAGACATAAGTTATGAAGGAGAGAACCTCACATGAAGTTGTATCAAGCCCCAGATCTGTTCTCTGACCCTCAGGTGCCTCTTCTGTAAAATTTGATGTTTTCCCACCCCATGCTAACATTCTGTGATTTTATGTGTATGTAAAACAAACAGGAAACTGACTTTAGGAAAAATAAACAAATTTAAAGTTCTGAATGTACATAATAACTGTTAAATAATTATTTAAAACTAAATACTCCAACATTTTAAAACATTGCTTCCTACAGCTGTTTGCTATAATTTCAAAATCAATATCCAATTTACTATTCCTTTAAATTGCCAAATTTGGCAGGTATATTGCTAGTAGAAAATGGACCTTAAATTATGACAACTTTGCACGTATTGATAGCACCTCCTAAAAAAGGATTTTGCTGGTTCTAATAAGAGGCCTTCTTATTATATTTTCCCCATTTCCTTGACAAATAGTACTCATTAAAACTGGAAACACTATTTTTTAAGGTTCACCTTTTCTTGCTTTTCTATCCATAATACTAAACTGTGCCATTAGGAGAGCAATAAGAACTTCCATAAATCTTATCATCTACAAAATCCATCAACAGAAGTACAGTTTAATCTTTAACTTTTATGCTAAAAATAATAATTTGAGATTTGTTTAAATTTTATCAATAAAATTACTGCCATGTGATGTATCATTTTTGGCATTTGCACAAAGCATCACAGTGTGGAAGGCTAACCCTGTTACTTTATTCCTTGTAATTAAAAAGAAGGATATGTACTTCAAGCCAAGATTTTCAAATTCTAAGCCTAACATTCTACTTTTACATTTAGAATTTAGTCTTTCTTGTGTCTATGTATAAAAATCAATAAGTTTAAAGATTTCTAAGTGTTGCCCTCAGATAAGCTTTATGTTCCTTCAGTAAATTAAATCTATGCACATGATCTTTGAACCTCTACTTACTGGGTGTCAGTTTTGGTTTAACTTATTTAAAACATGTTTTAAATATTTATCTCATACTTTCAGCGTCTCATATATAAAAATCATTTAGAAAATAATTTATAGGGTTAAGTCATTTAATAAGTACTTTTTTAAAACCTGCATGGAAGCCTAATGTATTTAACAAGTACAGGCATACCTTGGAGATGGTGTGGGTTTCGTTTCAGACCACCACAATAAGGAAAATATTAAAGTGAGTCACACAAATGTTTTGTTTCCCAGAGCATATAAAAGTTATGTTTACCCTATACTGCAGTCTGTTAAGTGTGCAACAGCATTATGTCTGAGAAACAATGCACACACCATAATTAAATATACTTTATTGCTATAAAATGCTAATCATCATCTGAGCCTTCAGCGAGTTGTAACCTTTTTGCTGGTGGAGGCTCTTACCTTCAATTGGTAAAAAATGCAGTATCTGCGAAGTACAATAAAGCAAAACTCAGTAAAACAAGGTATGCCTGTAAATACATTAGTGTGTGATATTAATCTATAGCAATTTTAAGTTATGATTAGGGAATGAGGATATTTTTCAGGAGAACTGTCTTGCTGCAGAACTTTTAAAAAAAAATATGACCACAATGTAACTCTCAATGCTCAGGAGATAGCATAAAACCTCACTGTTGTGCCAGTAGACCTTTATAGCTACAGCAATAGCGGTATTAACTCACATGCATGCAGGCAACTCAAACTCAAGTGGAAAATTTGTTGTGTTTGTAAACAAGTCATACCACACGTTCTGTTATTTGCACGAGCGGAATCAGCAGCATCTTTTTCCATGAGAGACATTAAAAGAAAGCCAAAAAACAAAACAAAACAAAAAACCCTGGGTTAAAATGATCTGCAGTTTCAGAAAAAGAAGGCTTTTAAGTGATGTTTTTAGGATTAAGGATATGTTAATTTTATTAAATTAAAATGTTTGTAACTTTTACTCTCTCACTGACAAAGCAAGTTTCTAAATAAAAATACCTATTTCAACTTGCATTGCCAATGTCTTTTCTTTGAGTAATCTGAGTAATGCAGAAGCCATCACAGAGGTATTTTCTATAAGTTTTTAATGTTTTCTTAAATGGGTCTCCTGAGATTGTTCCATTCTTCGTCATCCTGGGGGGTCTGTGCACAGGCCTTGCTCAGTTATGCACTCAGTAAACTCTTTTTATTGACTCATATTTCATAATTTTTAACATGCAGGGTCACAGCTGGAAAAATTATGATACAATTTTGATTAAAAGCTACCACTTGTATGCTAATCTTCAACATGATCAATTGTTCTTTTCTTTGTTCTCAGTGAGTAATTCCATGACTAGCTTGTGCTTAAATTTCAATATTTTTAGAATAAGGTCAAGTGTACTTGACATTTTCAGAATAGCAATTAATGGTCAGTAAGTTTCTAAAGAAAAATGTAAAACTATTATTTAACATGTTTCCCATGCAGCAGAATATAGCTCTTAGGTTCTGTCCCTTCATATCTCACATTATGGAAAATACTATATTACTTTAGACCACTGGACATAGATAGTCAAGTGATGAATGATGGTTAGAAGCACAGTTCAGGATCAGAAATGTTATCACCATTCTTCAGGAAAAGATAGGATGGCAAATTTATACACGTGGTATGATAAAAGCTGGAAGTAATTAAAAAGAGAAAACCGTCACTCTATAGTACCTGTTTTTAGCAAGTTTTATAAGTAGGCAATAATTTTACACAATTCTAGACTGCATAATTATTTCTAGGGAAAAATTTTTTTATTGAAGATTAATATATAAATTAAGGTTTTCATCAAAGATTAAATGAGCTTTCTCTAAAATACTCAGTTTATTAGATTATTTCCTTGATTTATCACACAATTATAAATAACTAGAGGCCCAGTGCACAAAAATTTGTGCACTCGGGGGGTCGGGGGGGGGGGGGGGTTCCTCAGCCCGGCCTGTGCCCTCTCATAGTCTGGGACCCCTCGGGAGATAACAACATGCTGGCTTAGGCCTGCTCCCGGTTGGCAGAGGGCAGGCCCAATCCCTAGGTGCAGCCCCTGGTCAGGCTCAGAGCAGGGCCGATTGGGGAGTTGGGGCACTGCCCCCTGTCATGCACAGAGCAGGGCAGATTGGGAGGTTGCGATGCCACCCTCAGTCACGCTCAGGGTAGGGCCGATTGGGGGGTTGGGGCACCGCCCCCTGTCACACTCAAGGCAGGGCCGATGGGAAGGTTGCGGCACCACCCCCTGTCACGCACAAAGCAGGGCCCATCAGGGGAGTTGGGGCTCCATACCCTGTCATACACAGAGGAGGGCCAATCAGGGGGTTGGGGCGCTGCCCCCTGTCACGCACAGAGCAGGGCCGATCAGGGGGTTGAGGAGCTCCCCCGTCACTCACAGAGTAGGGCCGATAGGGGAGTTGGGGCACCGCCCCGTCACACTCTGGGCAGGGCGGATCAGGGGGTTGGGGCGCCGCCCTCTATCCCCCACAGAGCAGGGTCGATCAGGGGGTTGGGGCACCGCCACTGTCACACTCAGGTCAGGGCCGATGGGGAGGTTATGGCTCTACCCCGTCACACACAGAGCAGGGCCCATGGGGGGGGGGGGGGGGGGTTGGGGCGCCGCACCCTGTCACACACAGAGCAGGGCCGATCAGGGGTTGAGGTGCCACACCCTGTCACACACAGAGCCGCAGGGCAATCAGGGGGTTGGGGAGCTCCCCCGTATCAGGCACAGAGCAGGGCTGATCAGGGGGTTGGGGCACCTTCCCCTGTCACGAACAGAGCAGGGCGGATAGGGAGGTTGTGGCCCTGCCGCCTGTCACACACAGAGCCGCAGGGCGATCAGGGGGTTTGGGCACTGCCCCCTGTCACGCTGATCCCGGTGCTGGGAGGCCTCGTGGCTCTGCTGATCCCGGTGCTGGGAGGCATATTACCCTTTTACTATATAGGATAGAGGGCTGGTGCATGGTGGGGCTGGCTGGTTTGCCCTGAAGGGTGTCCTGGATCAGGGTGGGGGTCCCCACTGGGGTGCCTGGCCAGGCTGGGTGAGGGGATGATGGCTGTTTGCAGCTGGTCACACACCCTTCGGGGTTGGGGTCCCCACTGGGGTGCCTGGCCAGTCTGGGTGAGGGGCTGAGGGCTGTTTTCAGGCCGACTGAAGCTCCAAACTGCTCCTTTTTTCTTTTTCTTTTTTTATTCTGGGCCAGCTTTAGCTCTGGCTCCAGCTCTGAGGCCTCTGCTGCTGAAAGAAGGTATCTGGTTTGTTTGTGTTCTATAATCGAAACAATGTATAACTCTAGCTCTGAGATCCCGGGCTCACTGAAAGCAGGTTTCTGGGGTTTTGTTTAGCTTCTATATTTGTTACTATGTTTCAAACTGCAGGCTCAGAGGCCAGCAAGGCAGACGGGGAACGGTGGTTTCCTCCGTCACTGAAGCAAGCAAGCCTCATGTTAGTTTCAAGCTGCCTGGCTGCCGGCCGCCATCTTGGCTGGCAGTTAATTTGCATATCTCGCTGATTAGCCAATGGGAAGGGTAGCGGTCATACACCAATTACCATGTTTCTCTTTTATTAGATAGGATAAACATCATTTAAGGGTTGACCCAAAAAAAGCTAAATTTTAGCTACTACATATTTTATTTTTAAGAAACACATGAAATGTAAGAAAATCTTAAGTTTTCTAAAATATACCACAAGGCATTAATGACCCACATAAGTACCAAAGCCCAAATACCACACTGGATTGATAGAGTGAAAGTGTCCTAAATTGTTTTATAAATTAATTTACATAACCTTATAATAATCCTTGTCTTTATCTGGGGAGTTCTTATTCCAATTTTGAATATGGGAAAAGGCAACAGGTTGATCTGAGACTTATCAAAGGCTACCAAGTTGTACATATTGATTATCTACCTAATTTTCTTAATTTTACAGATAGAGAAGAGGACTGTATGAATTTCCATCAATACTTGAATGTTCACTTAACAAAATATTTATTGAGCTTGTGCAGACAGAATATTGAACACTGAGCATGCAACTGTGGGGAAAAATATGGTTCCTATCCTCATAAAGCTTCTATTTTACTGTGAGAGAACAGATGTTAAATACATAACAGTTATGATCAGGATCACCTGTGGCTCTGAGTATCTGTAACAAGAAACCTGACCTGGTGTGGTGTGGGGAAAACTTCCCCGAGAAAATCATGTTTCAGCGAAACTCTGAAGGATAAAAAGAACTACTTATATAAAAAGGAGCAAATGAAATGAATGGTGGAAGCAGAGAGTACAGACATGATCTAGAAACTGGACACATTCAAGTAACTGAAAATGCAACATAGCAGAAATTTTAAAAAACAGTGGCTTCCAGTCAAGATAGTGGCTTAGGTAAATGCAATACTAGAATCCTCCCACAACCACATCAGAATTGCAACTAAACTACAAAACAATCATCATTAAGAACTGCCTGAAATCTAGCTGAAGTCCTTCAACTAAGGATTTCAAAAGGAAGCCACATCAAGACTGGTAGGCGGCTGGCCAGAGTTGCTTAGTTGGTTGTTGTTGGAGCATCATTGTCCTATGCACTGAAAGGTTGCCAGTTCAATTCCCAGTAAGGGCACATGTCTGAGTTTTGGGCTCATTCCCTAGTTGGGGCATGTATGGAAGGCAACCAATCAATGTGTTGTTGTTTCTCTCTCTCTCTCTCTCTCTCTCTCTCTCTCTCTCTCTCTCTCTCTCTCTCTCTCTCTCTCTTTCCCTCCCTCCCTCCCTCCCTCCCTTCCTCTTTCTAAGCATGTCCTCAGGTAAGGGTTTAAAAAAAGAAGACTGGTAGGCATGGCAAAGGTGCTGTATGATTCTAACTATATGATATTCTGCAAAAGGCAAAACTGGAGACAATAAGACCTGTGGTTGCCAGGGGTTAGGGGGAAGGAGGGATGAACAGGTGTAGCACAGAGGATATTTAGAGCAGTGAAACTGCTCTGTATGATACTATAATTGTGGATACATGTCATACATTTGTCCAAGCCCATAGAAAGTACAATAAGTGAACCCTAATGTAAACTATGGATTTGGGTGATAATGATGTGTTAATGTAAATTCAATTACAACGATCATACTACTCTGGTGTGGGACTATGGGGTGGTAGGTCAGAATGGGACCGGAGGATATAGGAACTCTGTACTTTTTGCTTAGTTTTGCTCTAAATCTAAAACTGCTCTAAAAAATAAGGTTGTGGGGTTTGTGGGTGTTTTTAGTTTTAGGAGGGAAATTCATGATTAAATTTTCAGTTTTAACAGATCCCTCTGGCTGCAGTGATTCTTGTGGATGGAGATAAAGAATTAATATGGGTGTAGAAGAACAGTTAACGGCAGTTGTCCAGGTGAGAGATGGCGCTAGTTTAGTAGCAGATGGTGTCAAAAGATAAAGTGAAAATGTGCTGGCCTTAAAGAAATAAGATTAAATTATGTGTCCATGAATAAATCAATGAACTGCTTACCCTTAGTTCCTTATATACTAAAAAAGAGAAAGGGAGGAAGTATATGGGGTTTGGCCAATGGTCTTCATGATTTAGGGAGAATCTATCACTGAATCACACTTAAGGCAAATAGAATAAACTGAGAACCTGAGGTAGCTATCCTTTCTTTCTTTAATGGCAGCCTTGTATTAAACAAAAACAAAACCAGGCAGATTAAGGTTTTTATGAGAGAACTTTTGAAAAATAATTTCCTGGGTACTCTTTATAGATAATGGTCCACTACTTTAGTAACAATCTTCGTTGCAATGATAGTGACTAATAAATATGATGATATAATCAAAATCCTAAAACGGACATTTCTAGAAACCAATAAATATATAATGTTATTTTGAGTTGGGTTTTTCTATTGTTTACTAGAGGCCCGATGCACGAAATTCATGCAAAAGTAGGCCTTCCTTCCCCCGGCTGCCAGCACCGGCTTCTCTCTGGCATCCGGGACCCGGGCTTCCCTCCAGCCACCGGCAGACACCCAGGACCCGGGCTTCCCCTCGCAGCCCCAGCTTTGTCCTGAAGGTCATCTGGCCTAATTAGCATATTATGCTTTTATTATTATAGATATTTGCAACTTTGACCCTTACTTGGTAATCTCAATGTAACTTTAACAGTTTTATAAACTTTGGGCAGAGATTATTACTCATTTATAATAAATGTCCACAATATATTATACATTAAAATGTTCATAATACACTAATAATTCTATTTAATTCTTACTATCTCCTTCCTATTTCTGTTTTCACAGAGTGAAAAGATGTAAAGGATGAGAGAAATTTAAGACACAGAAATGGTATCTTCTATCCCATTTCCTAATCTCCCACGCAAACTCTTCTAAAATATTAACATGAAATCCTACAAAGGAGTATGGCCAAAAAAATGCTACATAATTATAGCTAAAGGCTCACTGGTCATCCAAGTCTTGACAAAGAGCATATCTGCGTTTAATAAAAGTACATTTTCAGAATGAATCTATATAATAAAAGCCTAAGCGACCGTTACAGCAGAATGACCAGTTGCTATGATGCATACTGACCACCAGGGGGCAGACGGTCAACACAGGAGCTGCCCCCAGTGGTCAGTGCACTCCCACAGGGGGAGTGCCACTCAGCCAGAAGCCAGGCTCACAGCTGGCAAGCGCAGCAGAGTTGGCATGAGCCTCTCCTGCCTCTGCAGCAGCATTACGGAGCAGCGAGCTAAGCAGTAAGGAGCAGTGAGCAGGCGGGCAGTAAGGAGCAAGGGCTCCTGGACTGTGAGAGGGATGTCCGACTGCTGGCTTAGGCCCACTCGCAGGGAGCCAGCAGGTGGACATCCCCCAAGGGGTCCCAGACTGCAAGAGGGTGCAGGCCGGGCTGAGGGATACCCCCCCCGCCCCAGTGCATGAATTTTGTGCACCGGGCCTCCAGTACACTATAATAAGACTTAATGTGTAAATCTGGAACACTTTGTTAGAGCTGGTTAATATTTGCCTGAAGCACATAAAACTTCACTATAAAACAATATTTTTCATTATTAAAGAAAAAATTTCTTTTTTGTAATTGAGGACAATACATAATTATAATAAACTTAAATCCATGCGTTATTTTAATGTTTCATGCTTTATGCAGAATTGAATATGTGATTTGTAAAAAGTTATTGTAGTACAAAAAAAATAACACAGGGCAGTACCTGATTGTAACAACTGGCTATCCCATAATATATGTGTCTAATTTCGATGTTATTTTCTTTCTTGATATTTCAGCAATTATATGCAGTTTTAATAGTCAAGCTATCACTTGAATGCTATTAAACAATAATCATATCTGCTCACACTAGATTCATATCATTTACCACGGTGATTGATTCTGACTTTGAGGAAGATCGTGGACCATTTAGATGATAATTAAGAACTAATATTTAACTTATAAATTCGAATTTCATCTTTTGTACACTGAGAAAAAAGATTAACAATTTTATCCACATCAAGATGCTTGTTTTGAAGGATTGATTCCATCTCTTTGAATAGTTCTTTCTCCAGTTTTCTCATGTTCTCCAACATTGTTTTGGCTTTTTCCTAAACAATTAAAAATAACAATAAATGAACACACACAAGTCTAACCAAACTCTAACCAACTTCCATAGACAAGGTTTGTTCATTCTGGTTTCTACTTCTTGTTTGGTTCCCCTCCTCCTATTCTTTAGATATAGAACAAATAAAATTCTTTCAGAGAAAATCATTGTTCTAAAGTTTGAGTTATTTTATTAACCCCAAATTGTTAGTTATTTTTAGTAGAAAAAAACAAGAATAATTATGTAGGATTAGTCTATAAACAAGAAACCTAAAAGACAAATAACAAAATTGTTGAAAATCTGGTATTAATTATGTATGGGAATGCTGCTAAAAGTTGAGGCTGAGATATTTCTATGAATTTGGATCTTCTATATTTAAAAATAATATAGTCTATAAACAAGAAACCTAAAAGACAAATAACAAAATTGTTGAAAATCTGGTATTAATTATGTATGGGAATGCTGCTAAAAGTTGAGGCTGAGATATTTCTATGAATTTGGATCTTCTATATTTAAAAATAATATCAGAATAAACAAAGGAAATAGCACAGTAATGTTCAAGGGAAGGAGCAACTAAAATATAAGAAAATTACTAGAAAGTGAGCATAATTTTTAAATTTTGAACCATTATGGGACAAAACAGCACAAAATAAAGATACTTAACCTTAACATTGTATACAATTGTCTTTTGAAGAAATTTTATTTCATATCAGTGGAGAAAAAGTACATTTTGCCTATAAATTGTTTTTGAATAATTGGTTACCTCTTTGGAAAACAAAGTTAGAATCTCTATTTTATAGCATATGCAAAAATAAATTCCAGAGGAATTAAAGGACTAAATATTTTTTCAAACATATACACCTACTGGAAGAAAATACAGAAGTTATAATTATCTTGAGGTAAAGCAGGCCTTTTGAAATCAAGATGCTTTAAAGGAAAAGACTAACAAGTATAATTGACTAAATTTAAAATTTTTGTCTATAAAAAAGTCAAATAAATAACAAGTTGAGATTAAAAATTTGAAATGTAACAAAGACGATGCACATAGTTTGCCTCTTTGAGGTAGAAGACAAAACAACCAAGAATCAATTGAAAAATAAACCAAGGAAAAGGGTAGGCAAGTCTTTTAAGAGCAAATACTAATGGCCAATAAATATATGAGGAAAATTTCAACCTCATTAGTAATCAACAAATGAAAATTAAAACTGCAAGTAGGACTGACTTTCCCTAAGACACAGAAGTAGTTATTTGCAAAGCCAGGACTAGAACCCAACTCTTTGTCACTTCTACCCTCAAACTGTATTCTTTCCACTACTTTTTTTGTCAATCAATATTTCATGCCCATTAAATAAAACCTAAAATAGTAACAGCTTTTAAAATTTTATTTCAGTATTACTTGGGAAAATGTCAATCAGCAATTTAGTTGAACAAACATTTAGTAAGTCTACAAAACTCACCTCCCAGAGCAGTATTGAGGGGGAAAGGAAGCTGACAACTCTAGAAAACTAACAAAAGCAATTTGGGCAATGAGGCTGCTGGGGAGGAGGAGTGAGGGGAAATCCCTCCAGAGCAGACACTTTTGAAACATATCACTGAGGAACTGGAGTACAGGCAAGAAAAACCAGAGGACTTATACAGTGCTGTGTTGAGTCTGGACAGTAAACCAGGCCCAGGGAATGGATGACACCTCTGGCCCAGTGGACTGGGCCCTAATTAGCACACAGTGGACTCCAAGAACAAAATGCCTGCCTTTCACTCCATGCCACCAGGCTACAAAAAAAAGTGTTTACAGTGTAGGTGAGAAGTGAAAACAAACTAGGCCCAGATAAAGCAAATAGGAGGTCTCTGCTTTAAGCATAAGCAAGATGGGGATGGCAGGGAGAGGCATGGCAACTCTGCAAACATGCTACAGACAAAAGTAAATAAAAAAATAAAAGGAAAAAGCATTTAATTCATTCAATGTAGATAGAATATAAATACATATACCTTGATAAATTATAGGAAATTATAGGAATTATAGGCAATAAAAATGAGAGTTGGTGAAAACAGGTGAGAAAAATGAATAAAATGGAGAATCTTTTCCTTCATAGCAGGGAATCTGTTAAAAGCCTTTAGGCAGTCCTTCCATTTCCTTCTAATCTTTTTTTTTTTTTTTTTTTTTTTTTTTTAATCTCTGAGGAAGAGAGAGAAGAGGGCAAAAGAGGTATGGATATAAAATTATTTATCTATCCATCTATCTATCTGCCCCCCAAAAATACATTTGCTTATTTCTGAAGATAAGATTGTGGTGATATTTTTTAAAATTAAATCTTTATTGTTCAGATTATTACATTTGTTCCTCTTTTTCCCCCCATAACTCCCCTCCTCCTGGTTCCCACCCCAACCTCCGCCCTCACTCCCCACCCACTGTCCTCATCCATAGGTGTACGATTTTTGTCCAGTCTCTTACCGCATCCCCCACACCCCTTTCCCCCCAAAGAATAGTCAGTCCATTCCCTTTCTATGTCCCTGATTCTATTATAATCACCAGTTCATTCTGTTCCTCAGATTATTTATTCACTTGATATTTAGATTCACTTGTTGATAGATGTGTATTTGTTGTTCATAATTTGTATCTTTACCTTTTTCTTCTTCTTCCTCTTCTTAAAGGATACCTTTCAGCATTTCATATAATCCTGGTTTGGTGGTGATGAACTCCTTTAGCTTTTCCTTATCTGTGAAGCTCTTTATCTGACCTTCACTTCTGAATGATAGCTTTGCTGGATAAAGTAATCTTGGTTGTAGGTTCTTGTTATTCATCACTTTGAATATTTCTTGCCACTCCCTTCTGGCCTGCATAGTTTCTGTTGGGAAATCAGCTGACAGTCTTATGGGTACTCCCTTGTAGGTAACTGAGTTTCTTTCTCTTGCTGCTTTTAAGATTCTCTCTTTGTCTTTTGCTCTTGGCATTTTAATTATGATGTGTCTTGGTGTGGTCCTCTTTGGATTCCTCTTGTTTGGGGTTCTCTGCGCTTTCTGGACTTGTAAGTCTATTTCTTTGACCAGATAGGGGAAGTTTTCTGTCATTATTTCTTCAAATAGGTTTTCAATATCTTGTTCTCTCTCTTCTTCTGGCACCCCTATAATTCGGATGTTGGTACACTTGAAGCTGTCCCAGAGGCTCCTTACACTATCTTCGTGTTTTTGGATTCTTTTTTCATTTTGCTTTTCTGGTTGGGTGTTTTTTGCTTCTTCATATTTCAAATCTTTGACTTGATTCTTGTGATCCTGTACTCTGTTGTTTGAATTCTGCATAATATCCTTTATTTCAGTCAGTGTATGCTTAATTTCTAATTGGTCCTTTATCATAACCTCGAGGGTCTCATTAGATTTCTTGAGGGTCTCACTACATTTATCAGCGGTTTCTAGAAAATTCTTGCAAAACCTTAAAAGTGTGGTTTTGAACTCTATATCCAGTTGTTTGCTTTCCTCCATTTCTGTCATTTGTGTCCTGTTTTTTTGTCTCCACATTTTTTATGCTTCCCTGTGTTGGTAGGGTGGCTTTGTGTGCTAGGTGTCCTATAGGGCCCAGTGGCTCAGCCTCCCCAATTGCCTGAGGTGGACACTGTTGGTGCACCCCTTTGTGTGCTTTGTGCACAGTCTTGTTGTAGTTAAGCCTTGATTGTTGTAGGTATCACTGGGAGGAATTGACCTCCAGGCCAATTGGCTGTAAGAATCAGCTGTGTCTATGGTGGGAGAACTTCTGTGTTGAAGACACTCTTATGAGGCAAGACTTGCTTCAGTGGGGCTTTGGTGCTCACTGAGTCTGCCCCCTGAGTGTGTCCCTTATGGATCTGAGGAGTTGTAATTGGATGGTCCCACTCTGACCACTGGGTACACTGGCTCTTGGATCTAAGGAGGTACTAATTTAGCCTCTGCCTGAGGCTACCCAGCAGGAGCTACGAAGAGATCTGCAGTTCCCCTTCCTTGTTTTGGGTTTGGAGGTGCCCAAATGAGGCCCAGCTGTGAAGCAATGCAAGCTGCTGTGGGGCCTTGGGCCTTCTCTTGGAAGTTCTCGGTCTGTCTGGCCCAGCTGCAGTTTGTTAGGTAATTTTCAGATTGCAAAGGGCCAGGGCATTCATATGCAAAAGCCTCTGCCGCAGCTTGGGTGGGGCAGGGTCTCAGGGAATCAACAGGGCAGAGCAAGCAGCTATGGCTGATCCTCAGCCCTGCCCTAAGGGGCCCTGAGTCTCAGTGTCCCGGTAATCGCTGCAAGCACCTTTGAGAGAAAGCCACCCTCGAGTTCCGAGTTCTGCCTGCTGCCAGACAGTCCAGTTTCTCCCCGTATGAGTCTAGGTCCCCAGAGACTCACCCGGAATTGGAGTTCAGAGCAGTCAGGGGTTTGTGACTCCCTCCCAATTCAAAAAGACAGCCGCACCTCAGTTGCCAGCCCTTGCCAGCCCTTGCGTGCACCTCTGTACCTCTGCACTTCCGCACCTCCTCTGAGTCTCAGTGTGCTTTTCTCTTTCCTTCTAGTTGTAGAATTTCCACTCAGCCAGCCTTCCTGTGGTTCTGGATGATGTCCGTTCCGTCTTTTAGTTGTATTTTTAAATTTGTTGTGGGAGGCAGCAATTTCCGGTGTTTACCCATGCCGCCATCTTGGTTTCTCTGGGATGACATTTTAATCTTCTATAGTGTTCTATAATGCTTACATTTTAAAATAATAAGCATTTATTATTTTTTAAAAGCCCCAATTAATTATTATTATTTATGTCGATGAGGTCTTAAAGCACTTTCAATTAAAATTAATCTGAATCTGTATGCTTTAGAACATTATATAAGAGTCCAGGTTAACTGCCCTCCAGTGGCTTTGTAATTTGGGGTGTGAGATATATAATAAGCAAGCTACTTAGAATCTATTGAAGTCTTAGATTCCTTATCAGTAAAATGGAGATAATAATAGTTCCTACCTCACAAAGAGGCTGTGAAGGTTAAATGAAATATTCCATGTAGTAGTACTATGGTGCTTGGTGTATAATAGTGCTCAATAACAAGTAGCTATTGATATTATGTTTAATATGCTATATCTCTCTAAAAGATTCACAACATATTCTTAATCATTATTTTTAACCAAAGATACAAAATAGTAGAGCTCTACCATAGTCAAAGCATCTAAACTATTTTTAAACCTGATTGCCCAGCTGATGTGGCTCAGTGGTTGAGCGTCAACCCATGAGATCATGGTTTGATTCCTGGTCAGGGCACATGCCCAGGTTGTGGGCTCAATCCCCAGTAGTGGGTGTGCAGGAGGCAGCCGATCAACAATTCTCATCATTAGTGTTTCTATCTCTCTCTCCCTCTCCCTTCCTCTCTGAAATCAATAAAAATATTTTTAAAAAGACAAAATATGGATTGATTCATATTTTAAACTATTTGTAATGATAAAAGATAGAACATAATCTAATCATACCTCCTTGTTATCTATTACTTTCAATGCCTGTTGATGCTCTTGGTAGAGTGGGTGTCTTCTATCAGGTTTAGTCTTAAAATGTGGCTTCTTTTTTACTGGGTCTTCAAATTCAAATATTGGTGAACTGGTGTCCAGTAGTTGTGAAATATTTGGCACAAATATGAAAGGCTTAAAAACAGATCTAGAAGTAAAAATATTTTATTAAATTGTCACATGGGGAATTTAAAAATATTCAGCATTATTCTAAATCTTGTAAGGGTCCCTCTACTTAGATGTTTCTATTAACTTGCTACATACTAATGAGTTCCCGTCATACTAGTTGCAGCCATGCTGTCTTCCCTGGTATACTGGGATCTCCTTTGGGGCGGGGAATGGAGTTTATTTAGCCTTGTATTCCCATGAGTTTAACAAAATGCCTGGCATGTAAACAGTGTCAAGTAAAATTATAGTTCATCAGAGGGTAAGAACAATTCTCAATGTTACAGATTGAGGATTAAGATTTTGGATGAAAATTAGCAGCATTATTAATAAGGGGTTCACAGATTTTTCTTGAAAATATCTTTAATAATATGAAAGACTGTAACACTGAAAGATCGTGAATATAAGATCATTTCTAAATGTAATTTATATTAAGTTTTGTGAGAGATACTAATGACTTAAATCAAGATAGTCTATACAAATTCTTCTAAACTTGAACTGTTGATATTTTAAGTTTTACATGAATGTATTTTCTAGATATGAGTTCATAAGCAACCATCTAAATCCAGCACACTACATCATTTCCTTTTTTTATTAACTCTTAACCATCTAATATTATAATACTGAAATCTGCATAAGAAAACCTTTCTACTCTCTTTTCTTGACAATGTTAAGTATACTTGGGGAAAGAGGATGTAGGGATGACTGTCTACAAGAAACTATTAACATTTTTTCCAACAAAAATGAGAACAATTATGGCATTTATGCACATATGGAAATGGCAGACGAAAACTTAAACTGAAATGCATACAAAAATTATTTGTGTATTAAAAAAAAAAAGAAGAAGCCTCACAAAATAATCAACAGACTAAAGATTCTACCTTACCCCCTTACCCCTTGCTGGTTTATAGTATTTTTGTGACTTTACCTCTCAGGATCAGGAGTCCCAGTAAAGAAGTGAATGCAAGGAAAGTTGGAATCTTGAGGTAAAATAGAAACCATGCTTGCAGTGGTCAGGAATTCTCCCTCCATATTAATGCCACTTGGTTTATCTCGGAGAATTTCCATCATTGTTTCAAAAGTTATGTTTCCTAAGAAAATAATTTTGAAAATCATCAAATGTGCATAAATTTGCAGGTTGGTATCCTGCAAATATGAAATGCTTTCTCTACTGATAATATATACAATGAGATATTGGTCTAGGTATAAATTAAGGGATTGACTATAAAACAAAGCTTGTATCATAACTGTTAGATTAGACTCATTTCACTGTTGGAAGAAAGATATTTTTAAATATAAAATATCAAACCATTATAACAGGTAAAAATCTATGTAACTGCCTAAGAAGAAGAAATTAATAATACAAAATTAAATTCAACCTCATTGACCTTAAACAATATTTTAAGGTGTATTTGGTTAGCAATGAACTGATGCTATCAATATCATGTGAGTCAATCTATTCAGAAAACCAACTATTAAGAGAATAGTGTGCTTAGCTTCCAATACTAGTATTCAAGATGCTCTTTACAAAATAACAAATTATTTTTTCTGTAATAATTTCCTGTGCCTGAAATTAATATTGTTATAGGAAAGTGTGAATTGTAGTCTGAGTAGGAATGGATATGTATGTGTGTGTGTGTGTGTGTGTGTGTGTGTGTATCTCCATCCAGAGAGAAACTTAAAAGCCAATGTGGAAATCAGTAATCTAAGCTTCACTTTAATAAACTAGAAAAAGAGCAAAATAAGCCCAAAGCAAGCATAAGGAAGGAAATAATAAAAATAAAGCACAAATCAATGAAATTGAAAGCAGAAATAGAGAAAAATCAATGAAACAGAAATCTGGTTCTTTGAAGAGATCATTAAAATTGACAATCCTCTAGATACACAAATAGTTTGGGGAAACTCTTAGCCAGTATCTTTTAAAATATTGCTTTTGCCCCTCAATATTCCTTCTCCTTTTCCTTCTAGGACTTTAACTACACATATGTGAAACCTTTTCACTGAGTCCCATATGCCTCTCACACCTTTGTCTATATTTTCTAAACTTTTATATCTCTGTTTTCATTAAGTTCTTTTCTACTAATCTTCCAGTTCACTATTTTTTCCTTCTATTATGTCTAATTTGTTGTTAAACCAATCTATTTGGTTCTTCATTTTAGTTATTATTACTTTATAATTCTACTAGAGGCCCAATGCATGAAATTCATGCATAGGTAGGGTCTCTATGCCTGGCCGGTGATCAGGGCTGATCTGTGGGGCGACGGCGGGGTGGTTGGGGGGGCCCCCACTGGCACCCACCTTTGCCAGCCTGGCACCGACCGCTTGCCAGCCTCACCCCCTGCTGCCGCTGCTGGTTGCCTTCCTCTGTGGGGTGACTGGCGGGGTGATCAGCAGGCCTCCGCTGGCACCCGCCTTGGCTGGCCTGGGGTCTGCGGGCTGGGGGCAGCTCCTGTGTTGAGTGTCTGCCCCCTGGTGGTCATTGTGTGCCATAACAACCAGTCTTTCTGCCATTCAGCTGATTTGCATATTAGGTTTTTATTATATAGGATTATTTCCATTGTGTTCTCTTTTATAGATTCCAGTACTCTGATGTAATTCTCTTCCTTTTTATCAAATTTTCTTAAACATACAAAACATACCAATTTGAAAGTCTGTGTCTGATAAACCTAATGTGTGATGTTTATTTGTTTTTTATTGATCTCAGAGAAAGGAAGGGAGAGAGAAAGAAACATGGATGTGAGAACTACCCATCCGTTGCCTCCCACACACATCCTGACTGGGGATTGAATCCTTAACCTGGGTATGTGCCCTGACCAGGAATCTAACCCATTACCTTCTAGTGTAGGGAATGATGCTAACCAACTGAGCCACACAAGCCAGGGCCAACTGTTTTATAATAGAAAAATCTCAGTTTCTCCATAGTACAGCAATGATTTCAAATTCAAGAAAAGTAATTTATAAATAACTTGTTATAGGAGCAATATCTTTCTGTTAAATCTGAAAAAAAAATTCAGGAGGAAAAAAAGTTGGATATATAAACAAGCCTTAATCTTAAAACTAAACAATAAAGCAAAAGCCTGCCATCCACACCTAGCAGACACATAGCCGCTGCACCTAGGAAGGTTTTAAAGTGATTCAAATCTAAATTCCTTAAGTGGCAAGTTTTAATGAAAACAGTGTCAGAACCATAACACTGTCATAATATAGGTATTATGAAAATGTTTTCTGTATTCAAAACCTACAATTCTCAAAATGAAAGGAGGATTTACATGATCACTTGAGTAGGATAGCTATGAGTAATTCACGAGCAAGCATTGAATAAGTATTGAGACTTCAGTGGCAAGGTTCACGCAAATGAATGCAAAACACAGGGTGCAATTTCACTGCAATTTAAACTAGTTATTTAAAATACATGAGTGAATATAGATACAATTTGGATATACATGCAGCACAGTTAATAGCTATCAGTCAGGGACAGTTGGAAAGAAGAGAGGTAAGCTCTTCCATCTAGAAAAATCATAGGAAAAAATTAACCATAATGTACAAGTAGACAATTTCCTATAAAAGTACTGGAAAGACATTCTTTTGGCAAAGCACAAAAAGCTGAGCTGAAATTCAAACTTGGGAGGAAAAAATAAGTTTCATGTCTGATGCACCTATTACTATCATCATATATACATTTTAAATATATTATTCAGTTATTTTATAGTTAAGTAAAGCAGAATCAATTATTATGATGCAGTAACTAATTAATTTGTAATTGTTTCTACTTTTTCTTCCTTTTGTTTAATTCTTGACATTTTCCTCTCCACTCTAATTATGTGTTGTTCATTTTTTTAAAAAGGCCTGCTAATTTTATGTCCTGAGGATTTCAGTTTATTGCCAAAAAAGTACACAACAGTAATCTTTGTTAAACTATCTACAAATTATAATTTAATTAAATCCTTTTAAAATTTAATCAAAACATTAGGTATACACAACAAATTAGTGCAAGACTAGGTGCTGAGAGGAACATAAGGACAAGAAAGAGTCCATTTTTTTTAAGTTTCATAGGGAGAAAATTGAAGGCCACAGTTTCATAATTTGTAAAATGGCAATAATACCTACTTCACACAGTTGCTTAAAGATGATAATATATTCACTTAGCACAGTGTCTAGCCCTTGATATGCTTTTAACAAATGGAAGTAGGTGTTGCTGCAACTGCTATGCCTGTCTCTACTTTTACAATAATAATTTTTTAAAAATATATTTTATTGATTTTTTACAGAGAGGGAGAGTGACAGAGAGCTAGAAACATCAATGAGAGAGAAACATCCATCAGCTGCCTCCTGCACACCTCCCAACTGGGGATGTGCCCGCAACCAAGGCACATGCCCCTGACCGGAATCAAACCTGGGACCCTTCAGTCCGCAGGCCAACACTCTATCCACTGAGCCAAACCGGTAATACAATAATAAATTTAAAGTTAGAATTAGAATAACATATTTCAGCATTTTCTACACAGCTATCCACATGAGAAAAAGATAGTTTATATAACTTATAAAATGATAAGCTAACATTTAGACACTTTATAGAAAACTTTTCAAATGATAAGTCATTCTTCTGGAAATTAAAATATAAGTAAGATATTAAATACTTTAAAAACAATTGTGTTAAATCATTCTGAAAACATTCTGTCACAAATTTTTTTTCTGTCATACCAAATAACTAATATATCATTAATTTGTTTAATGAATTTCTGGAAAGCAACTATCAATCACTGACTGGTCTGTCTCTGAGTAGTTGCTTTCTGATTGATTTATAGAACTGGTTTATCCTTCAAGTGAAGGAGGATATATCACATTTTCTCATTAGTAAACTAATCCTTTTAGCAGTTATCTGCCACCCAATAATCTTCTTAAATAGAAGTTATTTTTCTGGAATTTTAGGTAACAAAGGGACAAAGAAATTATTGAAATTATTTTTTAAGAGTCAGGAGTAATGGAATATAAAAATGGGGAAATATGTATTAACTAGAGGCCCAGTACACAAATTCGTGCATGGGTGGGTCCCTCAGCCTGGGTGGCAATCGGGGACGATCAGGGCCATCATCTCTGGAAGAATGGTAACGGAATTGCCTCTGGGAAAAGAACTGCTATCTAGGGACAGGGTAAGAGGGAGAGACTTCACTGCATACTCTTATGGACCTCTGAATTTTGAATCATGTGCATATATTTATATTTACACGTAAAAGAATGCCATAGAATATTAAATGGCATGGGAAAGAGTTCTGCTTTAATTTGGCTGAGTAAACTCCCACCAGATCAGCCCTCCCTCAAATAACTATACACTCAGAATAAAATGCAGAAAAACAACTAACAGAAGGCTCTTCAGAGCAAACAAAAGCAGAAAAATTCTGGAGGGAAGGTGACATTTGGAAGATGAGATAATGCACAGGGTGTTTCCCTTTTCTGTTACAGCTTTGGCCCACAGTCAATGCTTCGCAATACTGGGCAGGGAACCATAGAAAACTTAGTCTTTGTGGCCTGAAGATCCAGAGGTCAGCCACAGGCACTAGGAAGTGAAGGGAGAATACCATAAAGGTGAAAGTTGAAGAGAGGAACCACCAAATTCTGTGTAAAAAACTCTGCCCACATCTCACCTGATCTGTGTAGGGCAGATCAGCTAAAAATAAAAGAACTGAACTGAAATTTGAGCTGCCGACTAGGGGATAAAGTTAGCAGGTTGAGAACAAACAGTCTGCTAAATCAAGACTTACTTCTGCCCTGGTCAGTATCACTCAGTAGGTTGGGTGTCATTCCGGGCACAGAAAGGTTTGGGGTTCGATTCCCAGTCAGGGCACATGCCCAGGTTGCAGGTTCAATCCCCGGTAGGAAGTAACAGATCAAGGTTTTACTCTTGCACCAATGTTTCTCTCTCTCCCTCTCCCTTCCTCTCTCTCTAACAATCAATAAAGAATATTTTTTTAAAATTCAATATATGAATAAGCAGGAAAATGTGACCCAAAACCAGAAGAAAAACAAAAACAGAAACAGACCCATAAATTACAGAGATAATGGAGTTTGCAGACCAAGATGCTAAAACAGCTATTATAAATATGTTGAATATGTTCAAAGATTTCAAGAAAAATGAAGATAATGAATAAAGTAATGGGAGATATATAAAAAGAACCAAATAAAATATGTAGAGATGAAAACTACAATATCTGAAATGAAAATGTCACCACATGAGATTAACAGCAGGTTAGATAATGCAGATGAATATATCAGTTAACTTCAGGACTCAACAATAGAAATTATCCATAGTAAATATAGAAACTACAACCATTCATCTAAACACCCATGAAGCTTAAATGTTTTCAATGGCAACTACATACAGAGTCATTATAGCAGGTTTACTACCTAGATGGAAAATCTGAATAAAATACTAAATATTTGTCATATCAAATATTCTCATAGAGAATACAGAGATATAGGTATGCTGGAATCCTGTGTGGTTTACTGCTTCCAAACCAGTGTTTGTTTCTCAGGATAGCACAGGTAGCCCCTGCTGTGCCTACAAAAATATATGTAGTTCAGCGTTCAATCTCTCACAAGAGACTTGTTGACCCAAAGCTCAGACAGCAGACAGCACAATTCCAGGCTAGACCTCTGGGCAGGGAGCAGAGTAGCATTTTTCATACTCTAATTTTGGTACGGAGTCCAGTTCCTGCTCTCCAAATGGGTTTTTCACTTACACACCTGCATTCTCATAGATGATAAAACTAGCCTCTGAGGCTTATACCTGGTCCAGAATCGCCACCTTTGACACAGAGAGGAAGAGTACTGTATGGGAATAAGACATCTCAAATCTTGCTAACATAATGGGTTCTCCCCTCATTTTTGGTACCTAGTGATTTCTTCTTCTTGTGTTTGAACTTAGCTATATATGACTTTAATATTTAAATATTTTATTCAGCCTTTCTAGAGTTTTGGAGTGGAAATTCTTAATCTGCTCAGTTTGTCTTTTTGACCAGTTCTAGATATAACTTTTGTCATAAAAATAACCAATAATAGCCTTGACCAGTTTGGCTCAGTGGATAGAGCGTCGGCCTGCGTACTGAAAGGTCCCAGGTTCGATTCCCGTCAAGGGCATGTACCTTGGTTGCAGGCGCATCCCCAGTAGGGGGTGTGCAGGAGGCAGCTGATTGATGTCTCTCTCTCATCGATGTTTCTAACTCTCTATCCCTCTCCCTTCCTCTCTGTAAGAAATCAATAAAATATATTTTTAAAAAAGTAAAAAATAAAAAAATAACCAATAATAATACCATCAAAGATAAATGAAAGAAGCAACAGTTATAGTCCAAAAACTCTGTCTCCATGTTTCGGTGAACTCTGAGAGGTAAAGTAATTCTAATTTGGATTAAGAACATTGGTATGAACTGGAAAAAGGGTCTAAGAATTATAAATCTGAACTTGTTCTTCAAAAAAAATCATTACCCTCTCATAAATTTATAACACTTCACTCATCTTAAAAAATAGCTTATAATATCACAATATTTTTAGTTTAAAATTACATCTTTACTAAGGATGATGCCTCAAAAAATATTTTATTATACCTACACAAAAATATAATTTTTCATTTTGATACTATTTAAATGATAAAATTACCTTTGTGTTTATTCAGAAGTTTGTAGCCTTCACAGTATCTTCCTGGTGAAATTGTCATCTTGGTTGTGTCAATATAAGAATATGTCGCTGCAAAATCAAACTCCTTTTTACCATCCCACCAACCTTTCCGCTTAGCATAGTTTCTCATGTCTGGGTGTTCCCGATCAATCTTGGTCGTTATAGAAAGCTGATTAGAAATATTACGAACTCCCTCTTTTTTCAAAGAAGAAGAGGTAAAGGGAGAAGAAAAGTGGTATTTAATATAATGTAGCTATCTGTATATTATGATTCATAATCACAATTTAAATGTAAATATAGTCTTCAAAATTTGTATCATATGCATCTATTACATATTCAAAAAGATAAATTGCTTTTTAAATTAAACTTTTTATTTTTGAGATATAGATTCACATGCAGTTGTCATAATAGACAGATCCTGTGTATACTTTACCCAGTTCCCCACAATGTAACTTTTTGTATAATATTACAACCAAAATACTGGTACTGATAATGTCAAGATGTAGAATATTTTCATCACCAAAAGGATCATTCAAGTTGCCCTTTTACAACCACATTCACTTGTCTCCCATTCCCAGCATCTCATTAACCCCAGGCAACCACTAGTTTGTTATCCATTTCTACAACTGTCATTTAATAATCTATAATAATAAAAGCATAATATGCTAATTAGGCCAGACAGCCGAATGACCTTCCTGATGTCCTTCCGGATGACCTTCCAAACGAAGCCGGGGCTGTGAGGGCCGAGCCCCTTGCACAAATTTCGTGCATCGGGCCTCTAGTGTTATATAAGTAGAATCATATAGTATATAACTTTTTGGGTTTTTTCATTCAGTATAATTCTCTAAAGATTCATATAGGTTATTACATGTATCAACAGTTCATTACTTTTTATTGCTGAGTAGTATTCTATAGTATGTTCATATGACAGTTTATTTAGCCATTCACAAGTTAAAGGACATCTGTTTGGAGCTGTCATGGAAAAAGCTGCTATAAATATTCATGTACAGGTTCTTGTGTGAATGTAAGTTTTTATTTCTCTGGGACAAATGCACAACATTTCAATTGCTAGGTTTTATGATAGTTTCATGTTTAGATTTTTTTTTAACTTCCAAACTGTTACCCAGAGTAGCTGTACATCCTTACTAGCAATGTATCAGTGATCCAGTCTCCACATTCTCACCAGCATTTAGTGGTGTCATTTTTTATTTTAGTCATTCTGACAGGGGTATAGTAATATCTCATTGTGATTTTAGTTTCCCTTTTCTAATGAATAATGATATTGAACATCATTTTACATGTTTTTTTTCCCATGTGTTTTTTTGACATCTGCATATCCCTTTAGATGATATGTCTCTTCATGTCTTTTGCCCATTTTTCTTTTTTTTTTTTTTACTGTTGGCTTTTGAGACTTTTTAAAATATATTTTAGTATTAATTAGTTTTGAAAAATAGTCATAAAAAAGTTTAGAACAGAAATATATAAGTCTTCCAAAAATAGCATGGCACTAAGTTAAACAAAATGTTCATCTAAAATACAAAATAGACAAAATAATAAAAGCCTGTGCTAAAGAGATCATAATGAATGAAATATATCATGATAAATGAAAATTGATAGTGTTTTAGAAAGACTTAGAATTACAGTCTGCCAAGTAGAAATTAATTAAATTATTCTAATGCAGTCATACTTGAGATATTCTCTCCATAAAAACTAGACTTAAGTCAGGATAGAACAAATACAGAAAAGAGTTTTCCATCTAATAGCTAATTCCCTAGTTTAACTCTTTAGTCTTGGGATCATTTAGTAAGGAAGAGAAACCAGTGGGCAAAGTTATTTTAGAGCTGGATAATTAAACCCAATGATAGTGTTCACATTGGATGGCTTGCTGGGCCCATCTTTTTCAAAAGAATACATTTATTCATTTCTCTTTTGCAAATGGCATAGTTAATAAAATAAAAAGTGCTTAATGGTACAAATCAGGCCAATTATTACAATAAGAAAAATAGTCTAAATTCAATTATATGTACTGTTTTTTTTACTGTTGTATTAGTAAACATACATACAAAAATATAAAATGTCCATCAAAAAACTGGCAATGAAAAATAACATCCAAATCCTCCTAATCTTGAGGCTACCTTCATAAAGCCTTTCTGAACTCCTCTGGCTCACTGTGACTTTTACTTTCTCCAAATGTTTACAGTATCTATGTGTTGTATCATTCATACACCATTTAATATTTTCACATGTGTATCTTATCTCCCTTGTAAAACCATGAGATCCAGGACGTAAGTGCACAAGAAGTATGTGATCACACTTGAGCACAGACTGTACTCTAATGAAAGAACACTGAATGGAGAGTCAGGATGGAAAGACTTAAATTCTGTTTTTCATTCACTGCCTTGAGTAATTCACCTGTCTGGATTTTCTCACTTGAAAAATGAGAGGAATATATGTTCATAAAGAAACCATGGAAAACAAAGCAAAGCATTTTAAGACAATTAAATTGTGTTCTTTTACTATGATAATGCTTTACTATTGTATCAACATATTCTTTCTAACCACTAGCCACCGACATCCATGCCCACCCTACTACCACTCCCCTTTTTCACCTTCATACCCACACATTATGAAATTTTGGAATTCAGCCCAAAGTTAAAAGAGAGAAAATGGTAAGAGATTATTAAAAAGTGGAAAACACAATAAAACAGCCAAGAGCTACTGTATAGAAAATATATAGAGGTTATTTAAAATTTATATTACATCTACGGAAAAAAGATAACATCACTGTTTTCTCCCTTTCAAAAAAGCTCTTTGTAGTGCTCTTTCATTGTGTGTTCTTGAAAATTGTTTCATTTCTCCTGTAGTTCAACCCTTCATTGCACTGAATTATAAATCTTGAAAGACAATTACATGCAACTTCTGCAAGTAAGGGAGAATTTATTAATTGTAAAACAAATGAGGAAAATTTATCCATACCTTGTACTTTTTCTGCTGCCCAGTACTTCCCTGCAGTCTCCAGAATCCAGGCTTCACTCCTATCAGCTATTAGGAAACTGTTGTGATAGCTAAATGCCATACCATCCTCTGAACAATTTCCACCCTGGCCATATTTCTCTAATAAATCAACAATGACATCGAGAGCTTTTTCAGCTGTATCAGCTCTTTCAAGGCCAAGTCTAAAATAAAAATATTAAAGTTCTCAGGTTAAAATAAATTTCCACTGTTTTGCTTAAATAATTTCATGCACATGAGATTTTGTGGTTGTATTCAAATAAAAATTATTTCAAGTTAACAGGTAAACTGAAATCCAACTTCAAAACTATTCCTCCTGAAGTCAGTTTGGAATTGAAAACAATGATTTTGGAGTCAAACAGATCAATGTTCAAATTCAAAGTTGGTAATTTATTGGCAAGTTACTTGATCTCTGATCCTCAGGTATCTCATCAGAAGTTACTGTGAGAATTAGTTATGGTCTGACAAAATATGTTAGGTACTTCCAATGAATCATGATTATCAATTCTTAGCCTCTCCCAATTAATGATATTTGAGAGTCTTTACACTACATGCTAGTACTTTAAAGCATTTTTGACACACACTATAAAGTATCAAAGTCCAAACAAAAGAAAAAATAGAAAAATAAAATATGTAAGAGTTACACCAAAATTTAAAATTTAGACAAGTTCTATAGTGCAAAAAATACAACAGAAAAATAACCTGACAAGGTCCATGCCCAGTAGCGCCTCTTCATCACAAACTTCTTCTCTTCCCCAAACAGCTTCATTCCCAATGCAAACTCCATGTTCATTGGCTCCCATTTCTGCGCCCCACAACCAAGCTGGGCGACTGAGAACAACAGCATATGTTTCAGGGACCTGATCAATTTCTATGTAAGTACACTGTAAAGAGAGTCATAGCAACAACCATAAAACCAAAAACATACAACTTGTCCAAGTCCAGGATCTTAAAAATCAACCAGAAAATACGACCATGACACAAATGAAGTATAACTAAATTGTAATTTTCAATAATCATATTCAGAATTGACCCTAAAGTATTTATTCATTCAAATACTTGCTGAGCCTTAGCCAGTTTGGCTCAGTGAATACAGCATCGGACTGCGGACCAAAGAATCCCGGGTTTAATTCTGGTCAAGGGCACATCCTGGGTTGCAGACTCAATCCCTAGGAGGAGGCAGCTGATCAATGATTCTCTCTCATCATTGATGTTATCTCTCTCTCTCTCCCTTCTTCTCTGAAATCAATAAAAATGTATTTTTTTAAAAAAACACTTGCTGAGTATCTTCTATTATAAAGCACTCTGCTAAGAAAATGCATCAGTTACAGATTTTGTTTTCAAGAAACTAAGACTTGTACATTAACTAAGGTACAACAAACTATAGGGGGCCATAAAGAAAAATGAAGATGAGGAGCTACAGAAGCTCAGGAGAGAGACAGTTTCTAATTGTGAAAACTCTAAATATTTTGTAAAGGAGGATGTATGTGATTTGAAGCTTAAGGAAGCAGTTTTCAATCTTAATGTACAGTCTTCCTTGGTTAGTGATATAGGACCCGTATGGTAGCCCTTATACACAGGGTATTGCCATAAAAGCCCACCCATCTATTATGTCCACAGCAGTGAAAAGAATGAGAACCACTAGTTTACAGGATAGGCTAGACTTAAGTATGAAGAGACAAAAGTGGAAATGGACCCAAAAATAATTAATAGTAGCAGCAAAAGAAAAACTGGCCTAGTATATAGAATACATCTAGCATTTAATATATTTTAGTATTAGAATATCAATGAACTCTAAAAAATATGCTAACAATTAAAGCACAAAGTAAAACTTTTAAAGTTCCACGCTGACTAGATTTTTTTAATTAAAATTTTTAAAGAACCCTTTAATTAATGTGTATTCTACCAAATGACTACATAAAATTCATGTTGCTAGTGTTATCACTGGGTCCAATAAATATTTTATTCCCAGGTAATAAAATTGTTATTCCAGAATCTGAATGACTCTCCCCATTCTACACCAATCAGAATCCTTGTTGTCCATCAAACTCCAGCTGAAACCCCAACTCCTAGTGAAGCCTTCCTTCATCCCTAGACTGAACTAATCGTTCTTCCTCCACTGCTGTCACAGCTTGCTGCTCTTATATTTTATATCTAGACCATCATACTTTATAATGGGGTTAGCTGCAGCATCCGCATCCGAGTCCTCTACTAAATCCTAAGCTTGACAGCAGGATTTAAAAAAAAAATTTTTAATTTTATTTTAGAGAGAGATGAAGGGAGAGGGAAAAGAGAGAGATGTGAAAGAGAAACATCGATTGGTTGCCTCCTGCATGCACACTGACCGGGGGATTGAACCCGCAACCTAAGTATGTGCCCTGACAGAGAATCAATCTGGTGACTTTCCAGTATACAGGATAAAAGTCAACCAACTGAGCCACACCAAACAGCAGGTTTTAAATCCCTGCCCTATTTAACAGGTTTACACATAGTAAGCATTCAAATAAAATTAACAATTATTATTATTGTTATTTCAGCTTCCTCCAAATCACAAAAGACCAGCAGCCTACTTTTGATTCAAATTATTCTTCAAATTTCAATTCTTGAATTTTTAACTTCTATAGTATCTGCCAAATAGCTAGCTTATGACAAAAAAAAAACACAACTGTTTATGATATTTTTAAAGAAACATATTGCTAACAAAATATGTATTTCACCTACCTTAAGATGTCCTCTCAGGTTATCGTGAACTGCAGCAGGAAAATAAACTACCTCTTGTACTTCATCACAGGGTCTATCTGAATTTTTTCCAAAAATAATCCTATTTTGCACTGTTGCTGGAGGTAATGCCACGAAAGTGTCACAGGAACAAGGTTCCATTTTTTTAAACTGAAAATCATATAAAAGATTCAAAAGAAGAAAAGCAATTTTAAGTATATACAAAACAAAGTTTTACTTAATGACCAAGGGAACTATTGCCATCTACACTAATAAAAGAGAAAAATGGTAATTGGCGTACGACACTACCCTTTTCATTGGCTAATCAGGGCTATATGCAAATTAACTGCCAACTAAGATGGCGGTTAATTTGCATATGTAGGCACAATGCAGGGAGGCGAAAGGGAAAGCAGGAAGAAGCCCCCTGCCACTGACAGTGATCGGGAAACCCAGGGGGGAGCTAAGAGCTGGGGGGCAGGGCAAAGGCAGCCCCAGGGCCGCCTTTGTCCTGCCCCCCAGCTATGATCGGAGAATCAGGTGCCTTTGCCACCCTGGCCAGTGATAGCAGGAGCCAGCGATGGGAGCTGGGCACGGTCGAAGCTGGCATTCCCAGGAGCTAGGGGTCCCTTGCCTGGGCCTAAAGCGGAGCCCACGATCGCGGGGCCGCTGCAGCTGTGGGTCCCCGTTCCCCGGGCCGGACGCCTCAGCCAGAGGCGTCCTGCAGGGGCAGGGGCGGAGCCCGCGCGATCGCGGCGCCCCCCGCTGCCACTGCGGGTCCCCGCTGCCCGGGCCGGACGCCTAGGCCAGAGGCGTTAGGCCTGGGCAGGGGCAGAGCCTGCAACCGCGGGGAGCTGGGGGTCCCCTGCCCAGGCCTGACACCTCTGCCGGAGGCCTCAGGCCTGGTCAAGGGGCCGATCCGGTGATCGGAGGGTGATGAGGGTCAACTCCTCTGGCCGAGGCATCAGGCCTGGGCAGGGGGTGGAGCAAGCGACCAGAGGGAGATGGGGGTCCCCTGCCCAGGCATGATTCCTGGGCCAGAGGCCTCAGGCCTGGGCGGGGGCCAGAGCCAGTGATCTGGGGGAAATGGGGGTCCCCTGTCCAAGCCTGACACCTCTGGCGGAGGCGTCAGGCCTGGGCAAGGGGCCGATCAGGCGATCGGAGGGTGATGGGGGTCTACGCCTCTGGCCAAGGCATCAGGCCTGGGCAAGGGGCAGAGCCAGCAATCGGAGGGGTCTGGGGGTCCCCTGCCCAGGCCTGACACCTGGGCCAGAGGCATCAGGTCTGGGCTGGGGGCAGAACCAGTGATGGGGGGAAATGAGGGTCCCCTGCCCAGAGGCGTCAGGCCTGGGCAAGGGGCCGATCCTGCGATTGGAGGGTGATGGGGGTCAACGCCTGAGGGCTCCCAGTATGTGAGAGGGGGCAGGCTGGGCTGAGGGACACTCACCCCCCACACACACACACCCAGTGCACGAATTTCGTGCACCGGGCCCCTAGTATCTAATAAAAGCTGTTCATTGAAGTTTTAAACTTCATGGACTGTAGTTCAAAACTCAGTCAGAAAATGACTTGGGAATGAATCTTACAGCACAAGAGTCAATAAGAAAATGGCAATGACAAGTACCTTCTTCTAATCTATCAGTCAGATTTACCCTCTGCCAGTGGTTCTCAACCTTCTGGCCCTTTAAATACAGTTCCTCCTGCTGTGACCCAACCATAAAATTATTTTCGTTGCTACTTCATAACTGTAATGTTGCTACTGTTATGAATTGTAATGTAAATGTCTGATATGCAGGATGGTCTTAGGCGACCCCTGTGAAAGGGTCGTTCAACCGCCAAAGAGGTCGCGACCCACAGGTTTAGACGGTAAACTCTTTTACTCCTTAAGTCTTCCTGTTATGGGTTCAATCAGAGAGATAGACCACCGACTCAAAATTTAAATTTTAAGAGCCTTTATTAAGCTGGCCAGCTGACTACCGCCACGTCCCTCCCTTAGGAGCATCGCAGCTTGCAGTGCTGACCGAGAGTACAGCAAAGCCTTTTATTTGCAATACTACAAAGTATTTCTAAAAAAAAAAAAAAAGAAAAAACAAACTGCAAAGCGGTTCATTAGCCGTTTCTGATACTGGCAGGGTAAAAGTTCACATAAAGTTTACAAGTACAACGGGGAGGAAAGCAAGGTCACACCTGGTTGGGTTTAATCATAACACATTGCCTTTCTAGCGAGATAATTAGCAATTTTTCTCTCCCTTGGCCCCTGCCCCTCAGCACATTCCCTGAGTCATCTTTGACTATTTCCGTATTTGGGAATCCCTGGTTCAAATATATCATAGGGCTATTATGAGAAATTAGTAATACGATGCGTCAAGTGTTTTGCACAGTGCATACAACGAAGAAGACACTCAAATGAAAGCTGTTTTTTTCATTCGGCGAACGAGTGCATATCTCACAGAAGGCATCGCGCACACACACCCCCGCAAGAGAAGCTGGTTGGTGGCGCCCCTAGAGCAGCCACGGCTACCCCAAGCCCTGTAGTTTCAAGGGCCATAAAGCGGCACTAGATCTGAGCTACGGGGTTGTACGGGAAGCTAAGGAAACGAGCACCCTCGTTAGCAAGGCACCCAGCGAGCCCATTTCGAGGGGGAGCCGCAGGGGCTTACGGTGCATTTATCACTCAACAAATGTTTCCTGAACATCTTTCTGCCCCGTGGCGACAAAACACACAGTCCTCGCTCTGGTAGCGTCGACACCCTATTTAAAAGCTTTCGTTCACCAACTGCTTTCAGACACCTCCGCACAAACGGGCTACACATTGTGAGAATTCCTACTCCCATAACACAGATGAGAAAATCGGTGCAGAAAAGTTTAACTCGAGTCCGAGTTCCCGGGCTAGATAAAGGGCTCGAACTTCAAACACGTCTTGTAGAAGAGCCGCCGCACAGGGCGCCCTCCGCGCCCCGTCGGGGGCGTTGAAACGGCGGCGGCGCAGCTGTGCCCCCGGCCCCAGCGGCCCGGGATCCCACCCGGCCATCTTTCCCGTCTCCCCCACTTCCCACGTCTCCTACGTACGCCCCTCCCCCGTGCACGCCCCTCACCTGGCCTGCGGGCAAAGTGAAAAGGGGAGGGGGCGATCTGTGTCCGGGAGAGGCATTAGTTGCCGGAAGCCGTCACCTCTGACCCCGGAAGTGCTCCGTGCAAAGGGAAGCGCAGTTCCGGTTAGGCGGCAGAGTTTGTTTACGTTGCTCTCAGACCTAGCGGCGGCTTTCTCCAGTTCAGCCTCCAAGATGGGGAAGTCCTTCGCCAATTTCATGTGCAAGAAGGACTTTCATCCCGCCTCCAAATCCAACATCAAGAAAGTGAGTACGGGGAGCCCGGGCGGGTGCTGGTCCTAGGACTGGGTTCCCAGGGCGTGCTGGACCTGGGGAGTGCTGGTGTCTCTTGGATCCCTGAGACAGTCGCCTCTTCGCCAGGCCCAAAGCTCTCGTGTTCTTGCCCCTTCACCCCCGCTGAGACACTTGTTGACAAAGCTGGCCCTCGGGTTTAGGCGGCCTGGTCTGCTCCGTCGGCTCTGCCTGCAAGAATATAAATCCATAAGATCTGAAGATCGATAGAGTTCCTCATTCCTTCCCTCAGGAGATTCTGGATTTGCCTTTTCGAATCCCAGGATCGCGGTGTCGGAGCGCTGCTAAACTGTACAGAGAAAACTTACTATTTAAGATAAGGTAGATCTTAACATGGAAATAAAGTCAGCCCCTTGCTTCCTCTCTTTATCCTACCCGATAATGTAGTATCGCTCCGATGATCTCGTTGAAGTTTCAGTGATCAATTACGTGTCTACGAGGCGCAGTGAAGAGAAACCGTGCTCAGTACTATAGCAGTGGAAAGGAGAGATGACGTAGGAAGAGTCTGAGCATTGGCATCAGGCCTAGATTCAATCTAGTTATTCCAGCACAGTCGCTTTTAGCCCTGACACCTTGCACAAAATCGTTCCCTCATTCCAGTCTCCTAATCTATAAATTAGGAATGATCATTATCAATTGCTTTGACTTGTAAAATTGGTATGAGGGTTAAATAAGACGGTTTAGACAAAGTACCACCTAGCACTGAGTGTGCCCACCATCTAGAAGGAGTGCTCAATAAAATATTAATTTTCCCTACACATATACTTATTCTTAACCTGCTCCCAGATACAGAGTTGCATTCTTGGCATATGCCTTGCTTACTCTGTATGCTTTCCCAAGCAGTCACATCCAAATTCATAGTTTTAACTACCCCCTCTTCACTCATGACTCTCAAATCTACAGCCCCAGGTGTCTCCACTACCTCGAAAGAACTATATATGTACTTAACAATTTCATCTAGATATCCTACAGGCATCTCAAGCTCAACATATCTGAAATGGAACTTATCTTTCATCCAAAATCTGCTCTTCTTTTTATACTTCCTATCTCATATGAGTAGGAAATATAGGTAGTAACAATCCTTCACCCAGTCATCCAAGCCAGGAATTCAATATTCATCCCTTTCCCATTACCCCTTTATCTAGTCAGCAAATAAATTCGATTGGTCTTACCCCCCAAATATCTCTTGAATCCTTCTCTCCTCTTTGTCACTACTGCCTGTATCTTAGCTTAGACTCTCATTATCTTTCACCTGGACTGTTATGTTTCCTGACTGGTTTTTCTGCCTCCAGTCTTGACCCCTTTCAAATCTATTCTCTACATAGACATCAGAATAACTATTTTATTTCACAGTTTTACTGAGATATAACTTACATACCATAAAATCACCCATTTAAAGTACACAGTTTAGTGGTTTTTAGTATATTTATGAATTTATGAATCATTACCACAGTTTTAAAATCTTTCTGTCACCCGACCCCTCAAAACCCATATCTGTTAGCAGTTCCTCCCCATTTCTCCTTAACCCTCCCTCTTATCCAGCCCTAGGCAACCACAAATCTTTATATTTCTGTGGATTTACCTATTCTGGGCATTTCATATAAGTCATGAAATATATAGTCTTTTGTGAAATATTGCCTTTTTCGCTTAGCATAATGTTTTCAAAGTTTATCCATGTTGTAGAATGTATCGATACTGCATTTCTTTTTATTCCTGAATATTCGATTGTGTGGATATGGCACATTTTATTTGTCCACTCATCAGTTTATGAATATTTGGGTTGTTTCCATAGAAAAGTCTTTTTAAAGCAAAACTCTGATCTTGTCCCACTCCTTATTAAAATACTACAGAATTAAGTCCAAGTAATCTGGGTCCAGTTTATTTTTCCTTCTCTGTCCCCAATTGCCATTCTCCCAGTTCAGATTTTATATTCCAGTAATGTCAAACTACTTAATTCCAGTTTTACACCTTTGGGTCTTTTTTTTTTTTTTTTTTTTTTTTTTATTGATTAAGATCTTACATATGTGTCCTTGTCCCCACGTTACCCTCTACCCCCCACCCCACCCCCCCGCTCATGCCCTCACCCCCCCCGTTGTCCATGCCCATTGATTAGGCCTATATGCTTGCATATAAGTCCTTTGGTTGATCTTTCCCCCTTACCCCCACCCTCCCCTACCTTCCCTCCAAGTCCCGACAGTCCAATCAATGCCTCTCCGTCTCTGGATCAGTCCTTGTTCATCAGCTTATGTTGTTCATTATATTCCACAAATGAGTGAGATCATGTGGTATTTATCTGCTCTCCAGTTCCATCCATGCTGTGGCAAATGGTAAGAGTTCCTTTTTCTTCTTCCTCTTCTTAAAGAATACCTTTCAGCATTTCATATAATGCTGGTTTGGTGGTGATGAACTCCTTTAGCTTTTTCTTATCCGTGAAGCTCTTTATCTGACCTTCTATTCTGAATGATAGCTTTGCTGGATAAAGTAATCTTGGTTGCAGGTTCTTGCTATTCATCACTTTGAATATTTCTTGCCAGTCTCTTCTGGCCTGCATGGTTTCTGTTGAGAAATCAGCTGACAGTCGTATGGGTACTCCCTTGTAGGTAACTGACTGTCTTTCTCTTGCTGCTTTTAAGATTCTCTCTTTATCTTTTGCTCTTGGCATTTTAATTATGATGTGTCTTGGTGTGGTCCTCCTTGGATTCCTTTTGTTTGGGGTTCTCTGCGCTTCCTGGACTTGTAAGTCCATTTCTTTCACCAGGTAGGGGAAGTTTTCTGTCATTATTTCTTCAAAAAGGTTTTCAATATCTTGCCCTCTCTCTCCTTCTGGTACCCCTATAATTCTGATGTTGGTACGCTTGAAGTTGTCCCAGAGGTTCCTTACACTATCTTCATATTTTTGGAATCTCTTTTCTTTTTTCTTTTTCGGTTGGGTATTTTTTGTTTCTTTGTATTTCAAATCTTTGACTTGATTCTTGGGATCCTCTTGTCTGCTGCTGGATCTCTGTAAATTATTCTTTATTTCAGTCAGTGTATGCTTAATTTCTAGTTGGTCCTTTTTCATGTCCTCCATGGTCTCACTATACTTATTGAGGGATTCATTAAATTTATCGGCGGTTTCCATAAAATTCTTGAAAAACCTTATAAACGTGGCCTTGAACTCTATATCCAGTCGTTTGCTTTCCTCCATTTCTGCCATTTGTGACCTGTTTCTTTGTCTCCGCATTTTGGCAGCTTCCCTGTGTTGATAGAGTGGCCCTGCGCGCCAGGTGTCCTGTAGGGCCCAGTAGCTCAGCCTCCCCAGTTACCTGGGGTGGACACTCTTGGTGCACTCTTGGTGCCTTGGTTGTTGTAGAATCACTGGGAGGAATTGACCTCCAGGCCAATTGGCTGTGAGAATCAGCTGTGTCTACAGTGGGAGAACTTCTGTGCTGAAGACACCCTTCTGGGGCAAGACTTGCTTCAGTGGGGCTTTGGTGCTCACTGAGTCTGCTCCCTGAGTGTGTCCCTTATGGATCTGAGGAGTTGCAGTCTGGATGGTCCCCCTCTGACCACTGGGTACAGTGGCTCCTGGATCTAAGGAGGTGCTAATTCAGCCTCTGCCTGAGGCCACACAGCAGGAGCCACGAAGAGGCTCAGCTGTGAAGCAATGCAAGCCGCTGCGGGGCCTTGGGCCTTCTCTTGGAAGTTCCGGGTCTGCCTGGTTCGGCTGCAGTTAGGTATATTCACATGCAAAAGCCTCTGCCGCAGCCTGGGTGGGGCGGGGTCTCAGGGAGTCAAAGGGCGGAGAAAGCAGCTATGGCCGATTCTCCGCCCGGAGTCGCGCGTCTCAGTGTCCCGGTAACGGCTGCAAGCACCTCTGAGGGAGAGCCGCCCCAGAGACTTCCCGGAACCGGAGTTCAGAGCAATCAGGAGCTTGTGATTCAAAAAGACAGCCGCGTCCTCAGGCACCACCCCCTTTCCGCGCGCGCGCGAGCCGCCGTACCTCTGCACTTCACCTCCGCAGTGCCTCTGGCTCTCAGCGTGCTTTTCTTTCCTTCTAGTTGTAGAATTTACACTCAGCCAGCCTTCCTGTTGTTCTGGATGATGTTTGCTCAGTCCTTTGCGGTAATTTTCAATTGTTGTGTGAGGCGACAATTTCCCGGTGTTTACCTATGCCGCCATCTTAGCTTTTCCCTCACCTTTGGGTCTTTGAGTTATTTCCTCTGCCAGTAAAATCTTGCCCTTGCCCTTGCCCTTGCCCTAGCCCTAGCCGGTTTAGCTCAGTGGATAGAGTGTCAGCCTGGGAACTGAAAGGTCCCAGGTTCGATTCCGATCAAGGGCACATGCCCGGTTGTGGGCTTGATCCCCTGTGGGGGACTTGCAGGAGGCAGCGAATCCATGATTCTCTCTCATCATTGATGTTTCTATCTCTCTCTCCCTCTTCCTTCCTCTATGAAATCAATAAATAAATAAATATATATATATATATATATATATATATATATATATATATATACATACATACATATATATAAAAAGATCTTGCCCTTTTTTCCTTGGCAACATTCTGATCCTCTTTAAAACCTGTTTAACATGTATGAAGTTGCTTGTGTACAGGGTTATTTATTGCAATAGAGTTTTTAATAGCAAAAGATTAGAAATTTTTTAAATGCTCATAGTGCAGCAAGAGATTGGTTCAATAAATGATGATATAGCCCCACAATAGAATGATGTTCAGCTCTCTCCCCCCCCCCACACCCCCCAAATACAAGGAGGCTTTTTATTCACTGATCTTGAATGATCTCCATGGTATAGAATTTTATTTTATACATATTCTCTGTGTGTATATGAACATGTGTATGCAATATATGTTACCATATATGAAAAGAGTGAGAAAAGAAATGTGTGGCCCTGGCTGGTGTGGCTCTGTTGGTTGGAGTGGCGTCCTGTACACAAAGGTTGTGGTTTTGATTCCCTAGTAGGGCACATGCCTAGGTTGCAGATTCAGTTCTCGGTAGGGGTACATTCAGAGGCAATGGATTAATGTTTCTCCGTCTCTTTCTCCCTCCCTTCCCCTTTTCATAAAATCAATAAACATATCCTTGGGTGAGGATTTTAAAAAAAGGAATATGTATGTATGTTTGTTTTATATACACAGGGCGGGGGCAAAAGTAGATTTATAGTTGTTTATATGGAAAATAATATAATTAAATAATAAGAATAAACTCTGTTTTGTGTACTCACAACTGTAAACCTACTTTTGCACTACCCTGTATATCCTTTTGTGTATATGTACATTAGAACATCTTTGGAAGGATATAGATATACAAGAAATAGATAACATTGGCTACCCTTGATTTAATTTAAATAAATAACTTTTTAAAACCAAAAGTTGCTGTAAAGTATTCCCTTATACCAGCCTTCCTTCCCGGTCCCTAATGTTAATCACTGTCTTATTCTTTTTTGTTATCTTGTATATATTTCTGTTGTCCAAATATCAAACTTTATTGTTATTATTTATTTATCTTATATAATTCATGTATTTTTTATTATACAGAGCTTAAAATTACAGAAAAGTTAGTATGGTTTTCTATTAGCAGATTCTGAGCATTTTGAAGACAAGAGTGTGCTTTATTACTTTTTATTCCAGTCCATAATGAATACTCAGTATGTGTTTAAGCTCTCGAGCAATTGAGACAAGTAAAATAACCTTATGAAATCTAAAGCAAATAAATGGTAGCCATTCTGTCAGAAGTGATATGTTATTCATTAGATTGTTATTAATATGTTATTCTGCTAGACGTTTCCCTCTTGCAACTGTTTGTATTTAAGCTACTGTGAAAATTCCAAACATGTACCTTTTTTTAAAATATATTTTTATTGATTTCAGAGAGGAAGGGAGAGAGAGAGATAGAAACATCAATGATGAGAGAGAATCATTGATCGGCTGCCTCCTGCACACGCCCTACTGGGGATCGAGCCTGCGAGACCACAGCCCAGGAATGTGCCCTTGACTGGAATCGAGCCTGGGACCTTTCAGTCCACAGGCCGACGTTCTATCCACTGAACCAAACTGGCTAGGGCACAAACATGTACCTTTTACTGCCTATCCTAAGTGTAGTTTTTTCTTCTACATTGGTAAGTGTGAAGTCAGTGGAAGAAACTTCAGGAACTTATACCAAAATAAATGTCTGGTATATTCTGTCCCTGAAGGATTCTTCTCATTTTGATTTTTTGCTTTTATCTCCATGCTAGGGGCCCAGTGCACGAATTCATGCACTTTGAAAAGAACTGTGGGCCGCAAGGCTGCAGTGGGCACAGGGGTGGGTCTCGGCCCATCCTCCACATCCCCGCCTGGCCCTTCCTGCCACGGGCCCCAGTCCCATCTCTGCTGGCAGCCCCACTCCCACTGCAGCCACTCCCATGCGCTGATGGCGCCAGCCCTGCTCACACCCGCTGACTGCGCAGAGCAGTTGGGACCAAAAGTTGCTGTAACAGGTGTGAGCAGCAGGTGTGAGCGGGGCCGGCGCTGTCAGTGGGTGCGAGCAGCAGCTGCTGCCCCAATCGCCCCTCAGGAGCAGGAGTGGGTAGAGAAGCCCTCAGGGGCGATCAGGGCCAGCAGCTGGTCCTCCCACCCACTGACGGTGCCGAGCGATCAGGACTGGCACCGGGCGCCAGCAGCCAGTGTGAGCAGCAGCTCCAGCACTGGCAGTGTGCGAGCGCCGGGTGGGACCATGGCTCACGGGAGCAAAGAATTTTCAGTAACCACCAGAGGCTCGCCCCCATGACAGTGACCAGTGCCCTGCTGTGGTCTGGTGCCCCCGCTCACCTGCTCCACCATCCTGCCACCATGTTCCGTGTATGCCCCCTGGTGGTCAGTGCACATCATAGGGACCAGTTGTTCGGTTGTTTCGCCGTTTGGTCTATTTGCATGTTAACCTTTTATTATATAGGATAGGATTAACCTTTCTTGTTCACATCTCAAGCTGTGTCCTCAGCACTTTCCTATCTCAGCACTACTAAAATACTAATAACTACCTTTTTTTGCTCCTGAAATTGAAAAATGGCAGTCTTGTCCTACATCCTCCTCCTCATACTCATCTGCCCTCACCCACAGTTAATTATAATTTTATCAAAGTAAGTATTTGTCCTCAAATTTACCTTCTTAAAATTAGCTTGTTGGAGAAAAAGTTTGACTTGTTTTTGGTGAATGGTTGTTAAATACTTTGTCCTTTATTCTAAAGGTGATAGGAAGGCATTGGTACCTTTTAGGCTCAGGAAGTAACATGGTTAAATACCCTTGCATAAGCTGTGTGCCCTTTTTACCTTCACCACTTTTATGGTTTTGAGAATTTCACATAGGGACACATTCAACCTGTGCTGCTGGTGCCTTTGAGACATCTGACACACCTCTCTCTGATCTCTTTATTTCCTCTCTTGTTTCTTCCCTTTATTCTACAACTATCTTTCATTTCATTTCCTTTTCTTCCTCTTCCTGGTCCTCCATTTTTCCTCTCTTGCTGTGTCAGTGGCACCCCTGGGCATTGTTTGACCCTACTGGTTGTACCTGTGTGTTTTCTAGTCTAGACATATTACATGTGGAGAGATGGTTATTCTCTCTGAAATAATACAGGGACTGAGTGCAAAAAGCTGTTGTTTCAGGTGCTCAGAGTAGTTCTCAAGTTGGACATTTTTGCTTGAAATTTTAGTTCTTTTGAATGGTTGTATTTAAGGACTTGCCCAAAGACACAAATCAGACTTTTCAGCTGTTATTTTGTAATGGTGTCATTATGACCAAAGTAGATTATGTTGTAAACTATATATAATAGCATTTGATATTTTATTAGAAAAGCAAACGTCCTATTTTAAATTTTTTACTTTATTAATTTAGGTATGGATGGCAGAACAAAAAATATCATATGATAAGAAAAAACAAGAAGAATTAATGCAACAATATCTTAAAGAACAAGAATCATATGATAATAGGTAAGAAATTCCATTATACTGGTGATTTGATTTTATTTTTTAAATTTTATTATTATTTTTTAAAATCCTTACCCAAGGATATCTTTTTATTGATTTTTAGAGAGAGAAAGGAAGAGAGAAAGTAGTGGGGAGAGAGAAAGATACATCAATGTGACAGAAAAACATGGTTTGGTCACCTCCCACATGTGCTCCAACCAGGGATCGAACCTGCAACCTTTTGATATATAGGATGATGCTCCAACCAGCTGAGCCACCCAGCCAGGACAGTGCTGGTGATTTTAGAATAATCAATTGCATGAAAATGATCCCTACTGAATTATGTATTAAGTTAGCCTTTTTGAATTGAATGTCTTTTTTTTTTAATATATTTTATTGAATTTTTACAGAGAGGAAGGGAGAGGGATAGAGAGTAGAAACATCGATGAGAGAGAAACATCGATCAGCTGCCTCCTGCACACCGCCTACTGGGGATGTGCCCACAACCAAGGTACATGCCCTTGACTAGAATCGAACTGGGGACCCTTGAGTCCGTAGGCTGACGCTCTATCTGCTGAGCCAAACCGGTTAGGGCTTGAATTGAATGTCTTAAGGATAGGATTCTATTCCCTCTGAACTATCTTTACTCTCATATTTGTAGATGGCCATTTACCCATAATTCACATAAAATATATTGATGTGAGTATATATAGCCTATGATCAAGTTCCAGCTGAGGCAAAGCTTAGAACAGGAGTCCTCAAACTTTTTAAACAGGGGGCCAGTTCACTGTCCCTCAGACCGTTGGAGGGCTGGACTATAGTTTAAAAAAAACTATGAACAAATTCCTATGCACACTGCACATATCTTATTTTGAAGTAAAAAAACAAAACGGGAACAAATACAATATTTGTATTTGCATGTGGCCCGTGGGCCGTAGTTTGAGGACCCCTGGCTTAGAAAAACAATAAAAGTTTAACACTCAAACTGCTGACACCTCTCACAAAAATATTTCTTTAAAAGCTTATTAAAGATCAGTGCAGTGAGAAAGCAGAAAAGATGTTCAGGAAACAGTCAATAATTGAGTTAGACCTATAAAAAGAGTGTGGGTGGAAAAGTAGGTTTACAGCAGATCATAGTGCGGTTTTTCTTTATCTTTAAAAAACAGTTACTTTTTTTCCTTGGTACTTTAATTAATATTTGAAGCTATGCAAATATCCTGTTTTTCCTAGAACTTTTCCCAGTAGTTTTAGCATTTATTGGTGCTAAATTTAGCATTCACATCAATTATTACTGTGGTTTTCTAACGGTGATTTTCTCTTTCTCTCATTCCCACTATATATTTTTAAATATATTTTTTAATTGATTTCAGAGGGGAAGGGAGAGGGAGGGAAAGACAGAAACATCAAGGATGAGAATCATTGATCAGCTGCCTCCTGCACGCCCCCTACTGGGGATCGAGCCCTCAACCTGGGCACGTGCCCTTGATTGGATTCAAACCTGAGACCCTTCAGTCCTCAGGCCAGTACTCTATCCACTGAGCCAAACCGCTATATTTTTTAATTTGAATTCCTTTTCCCTTTCCTCATTTATTTATTTAGTCATTTATTTGTATCAGTGTAGACTCATAGATATTTCAGATTTCATCTAATGAGTGAAGTTTTGAAACTATTACAATACCTTAATTCCCTTAGAATTTTAGAGGTTGAGGGACAGTTATTCTGTAATTTTTTCCTCCTACATAAAATTGTTACTCTTATGTCTTATTTTTATTTAGATTGCTTATGGGAGATGAACGTGTAAAGAATGGCCTTAATTTCATGTACGAGGCCCCACCAGGAGCTAAAAAAGGTACTCACCTCATTTCTTTTTTTAAGTCTTTGATATGTTTGCAACTAAAAGTTTGAGAACTGTTATGAAAGTTGCTCTTTATCTTTTAAAATGGCTATTGTATAAATGCTGTAATCAATAGAATAAATACTAAAAATATTTGTCTATAATCTAGTTATATTTCATGACTGGTCCTTTGGGTAGGAAAAAAATCTCAACATCAGCAGAAGTGCGTTTATTCTTTTATAATTTATGTATATATCTTTAGTGAGACTACATGCCTATTAAATATGATGTCTTACTTAATTTTGTTTTTTATCCTTTAGTGATTTGAATTTTATCTTGTGAAAGAAGAAAAATGTCAAACCAATAAATTCTTACATGTTATAATAAAATATCATATCATAGTATAGTATATGATAGACTTTTATGAAGTTTTTAACTTGCTCTACCTTTTTCCCCCGTGTTTTTGATATGCAATCAAGAAAATAAAGAGGTAAAGTACCATTTACTATGCTTGAATTTACTTGCAGTAGATTATAATTTTATGAAAAATTGAAAGACTTTTTAATGAATGTTTTCAGAAAGAAGAAACAGAAGGAGAGACTGAATACAAATTTGAATGGCAGAAAGGAGCGCCACGAGAAAAGTAAGACTGGTTTTCTTTTAAGATAAAATACATATCATTCAATTTATCTGATATCCCATCTTGTATTCTTTTTTTCATTCACTAAAGGCATCTAATATGAAAAAGTATTTTAGGTGATTTGTCTTATGCAATTAATTTGCCTGATTATAGTCTTTAGTTTTATTTTACCTTTTCATTTTTTTAAAAAAAATTAGACTGGACACTTAATAACTAAGTCATGTTTGGAAATACTAAATAGATTTATAGTTTTGTATAGTTATTACAGTTATACATTTTGTAATATATTTACTGGTAGAACTATAGAACTTTTTCAGAATAACTGCTGTTTCTTAAATTATTCTTAATATTGTGTTTGCACATTTTTTTCTACATAATAGATATGCCAAAGATGACATGAACATCCGAGATCAGCCCTTTGGTATTCAGGCAAGTGACATATATTTTACTCTGTAAGAATAATTTTTATTTAGTAAATACTTTACATTGTGGTCCAAAAGGTATTTAAGCTGAAAAGGAGTTCTGTGGTTTCTGTTTGTATCAGAAAATCGAAGGACTAGAGGAGAAAACATTAAATGTAATAGATTGATGAAAGATAGAAATCAAAGTTTTATAGTGAGGCTTATAATGACAGTGGTCTCTGCAGTTTTCAAGGAATTTGAAGAATTACCTCAAAATTTGAGAATTTAAGATTAAGCCATGACATAATTATTTTTTGGATTTTTATTATTCTTTTTTGGATGACATTGTTTTATTGCCACAAAATAAGAGTCAAAAAGAAAAAGATAGAATTTAGCTTAGTTTTTAGGCAGACTTTATAGTAAAAGATTTTAGTATTTATATTAAATTAGAGGCCTAGTACACAAAATTCGTACATGGGGGGGAGGTGGCGGGGGGTCCCTCAGCCCGACCTGTGCCGGGAGCCCTCTGGGGATGTCCAACTGATGGCTGAAGCCCGTTCCCTGCGGGGAGTTAGACTAAGCTGGCAGTCAGAGGCTCCCCCCACCACCGCCACTGTGCTCACCATCCATGAGTGGCTTCTGGCTGAGCAGCACTCACCCTGTGGGAGCACACTGACCGCCAGGGGGCAGCTCCTGCATTGAGCGTCTGCCCCCTGGTGGTCAGTGTGCATCATAGCAACCAGTCATTCTGCTGTTTGGTCGATTTGCATATTAGCCTTTTATTATATAGGATTATAAAATATAGTTATGGAGTCTCTTTCTCTGGAAATCTTTTTTTTTTTTTTTTTTTAAATTACCCTGTCACTGTAATTTATTGTGTTTTAGCATAAGCCAACTAATTAGATCTTATTTTGCAAACAAAATTTTCATGGCCTGCTATATGAAATTCTTCTCTAATAGGTAGCATCTGCTGTATTTATTTCATCCATTAATTTTGTAACCTTCTCCAAAACAAACACTAGGCTCATGTGATGTGATTCAGAAAGAAGAGATGAGATATGTTGCCTGGGGGTACACAAGCAATCTTAGTCCCCAAATCCACCAGTCTTCCTGGACATGTCTTCCCAAAGACTCTAGACACATGATGGCCAGCCAGCCCAGTCCCTTGTAGGCTGTGCCTATTGAGAAGAGACCCTAGTGGTCTTCCCATGGAGTGTGCATTCAGAACTTACCCACCTGTTATTGGGTGTGAGGATCCTAGAGAAAGGATGGTCTAAACCCAGGCAGCTTCCTGGGAAAGGGAGGACTATTACAGGGCCTGGAAAGATGACAGGACAAGAACAGTGAGAAGCCTTTTTGAACAGGAACCTATAAGAAGATCAAAGGGCAACATGATTCTCTTTCGACATACCTACTTCTGGTCTTTCCAAGATAGAGGTCCTTTCCCCCAGGCCATGAGCAAATTTGAAGAACAACAATGATCATAGTTCAGGAGACTACCATTGTCACCAAATGCACTGATGCCGGGGTCCAACCCCAGCAGGTCCAGGGGTCCCCAAAGGTGTGGACGGAGTCGGCGAAGAAGGAATGACATGGATACAGCGTTCAGTTGATCAGCAGCCTACCCAGGATCTCTAGCCAAGTTCTGGTCAGGATCTCCAGTGAAGTTCTGGTTAGGATCTCCAGCCAGGTTCTGTGTCCATATTCTCTTCCTAGGTTCTCCAGCCACGTTCTCCAGGTTCTCCAGCCAGGTTCTGTAGCCAAGTTCCCTCGCTAGGTTCTCCAGCCAGGTTCTGTCCAGGTTCTCCAGCCAGGTTCAGTTACCAGGTTCTAGTCAGGTTCTCTTGCCAATTTCTGTAGTCAGGTTCAGTCCAGGATCTTTTGCCATGTTCTCTCGCTAGGTTCTGTCTCTAGGTTCTGAGGCCAGTTTCTGTCCAGGATCTTTTGCCATGTTCTCTCCAGCGAAGTTCTTCTGTCTCTAGAGAACGTTCTGTGTAGGTTCTGTGCCTAGGTTCTGTCTCTCTTGGTTCCGTATTCTAAGTTCTGTGTTCTAAGTTCTGGGTTCTAAGTTCTGTCTGGAAATCTTTTTAAAATTAGAATAATTTAATTTAAAATCTACCAAGGAGTAGGGAGCCAAATGTTGGTTAGATTCTTAATATTTTAATAACCAAAATAATGTTCACTATTTCTCAGGTTCGAAATGTGAGGTGCATTAAATGTCACAAATGGGGTCATGTCAACACAGATAGAGAATGTCCTTTGTTTGGTCTTTCTGGAATCAATGCAAGTTCAGTTCCCACTGATGGCTCAGGTAAGCACTAGACATGATTTATTTGTTTTAGAATATATACCAAGGACAAATAAGAAAAGATCAAATAACATTTTTATCTTTGGCTTGGGTTGGGCTTTTTGGACTAAGGCACAATCCCAAAATATGATGGTCAATAGGAAACTATGATCATGTGTTCTGAATTTGAAAGACAGTATATTAGAATTGAATTTAATGTTCCTAGCCAAGGGCCCCTGTGAAAGACATTAAACATAGTTTATCAGGTTAGTAACTTAAATATAGAAGGAAGAAATGGTTATTTCTATATTTATGTCCTCCTGAATTATAAAAGTAGATTGGTCTAGAAGCCTCAGCAGTCACCTTAATTCAGAGATAAAATCAAAACTGAGTTTAGCTCTAGCCAGTTTGGCTCAGTGAATAGAGCATCAGCCTGCGGGCTGAAGGGTCCCAGGTTCAATTCTGGTCAAGGGCACATGCCCGAGTTGCAGACTCAATACCCAGTGTGGGGCATGCAGGAGGCAACCAATCAATGATTTTCTCTCTCATCATTGATGTTTCTATCTCTCTCTCCTTCTCCCTTCCTCCCTGAAATCAATAAAAATATATTTAAAAACAAACAAAAACTGTTAACTATGTTAAAATTGGTTTTTACTTAAAAATTTTATTTGCCTTTCTGCATATTGTTGTCTAATTAAGAAAGATTAGTCTAATTTGTTTTTGTGTTATTTGGATTCCTTTTATAAAAGGATATTAAAACAGAAGTTTTAACTTAAATTTATCAGTGCCTTAGGTAAAAGAAGTACACAGATACAATATTATAATTGAGTTTTTTTAAATCCTTATTATTCTAAAAAAGATAGAAGCCACATTTTAAGTAAAGGGAAACTATTTGCTCAGTGGTGAGAGAATGCTGATACAGACCTTGATCTGAGAACCTCTGACAAAAAGAATATCCCACGGATGCCACAATGTAGGTATCTTAAAGCCCACATACTGATACTCCTTGCTCCCCTACCTCCACACACCCACTTGGTGAAAGAAAGGTGAGAGGTCTCAAAAGAAATAAAGCCCTTCCATAGCTGGTTTGAAGGGTTGAGGAGTCAGTTCCAGTCAAGGGCACACACCTCAGTTGCAGGCTCAATCAGGGAGCATGTGGAGGACAACCAATCATTCTGTCTCTCTCACATTGATGTTTCTCTCTCTGTCTCTCCCCCTCCCACTCTCTCTTAAAAAAAAAAATGAAATCAATTGAAAAGATATTCTCTGTTGAAGATTAACAAAAAAAAGAAAGAAAGAAAGAAAGCCCAAAGAAATACGGGGGTGGAGTAAGTCATATATGAAGAACCCATTGGCTCACATATTTCTGACCACTAATTTTAGTCACAGGAACCTGTTATTATATATAAAAGGTATATTCTGTTTTCTGGAAAGGGTTCGATCTTTCTCATCTTTTCCTTCACTCCAACCTTGTTGTGCCCTTACAATTGCATGTTTCCTGTGTTGGATAGGGGTGGTCAGTGATAGTAGCTGTCTTTGTTCCTTGGCCTATCTTTGATCCTGCTTCTGAGAAAATGAGTAGGATAGACTGCAGACTTAGCCCTTTATTTAGTAATCGATTAGACCTGCTTTCTCTTGAGTCTATATTAGAAAGTCTGTTAACCACAAACAAAAGAACTTGTGCTATTTAATTATCCTATTTTTAAGAGTATTGAAAACATTGAATTCAGATATAATGAAGCTAGATTGGCTCTTCTTCAGCCATGAATTTATGCTTATTAACTTTACAATAACTCAATCATTCATTTTATGCAATCAAAGTTTTTGTACCCCACTTATGGTGGAGTTTTACTGTAGAACTATTCTTCAATCAAATGAACTTTCTCAAAATAAGTGAATGAAGTAGAAAATGCTCAATTTTTTTTTTTGCTCCTATTAAGTTTTAACACATGTAACCACCCTTGAGTGAAAAGTATTACCTTTGTTGAAATACTAATATTAGTATATTAATATTCCTAATACATAAAATGTTCCTTCAAGTCAAAAGATGAACAAACTCAAAGGAGCAAAGGACATAAATATTGGTGGTTTACAAAAGGAGGGGTTCAAATAGCCGTTACAGCCATGACAACATTTTCAACAGCATTAATAACCAGATAAATGGACCTCGCTGGTTTTGCTCAGTGGCTAGAGCATCGGCCCACAGACTGAAGGGTCCCAGATTTGATTCCGGTCAAGGATGAGTACGTACCTCAGTTGCAGGCTCCATCCCCAGCTCTGATCTTGTGTGTGTGTGTGCGCGCGCCTGGGAGGCAACCAATCAATGTGTCTCTCTCACATCCATGTTTCTTTCTCTGTCTCTCCCCCTCTCTTGCACTCTCTAAAAATCAGGGGGAAAAAATATCCTCAGGTGAGAATTAACAAAAAAATAATAATAACCAAAGAAATTAAAGTAATATTATCTTTTTGCCCATCAAATTTGGTAAAGTCTTAAAAGAACTTTACACCCAGTGTTGGAGCAAGTGTGGTAAAATTAACATTTTAATCCACTATTGATAAATTGGAGCAGCCTTTCTGAAGTCATTTGATGATATGTATCAAAAGCCTTAAAAACATGAATATCCTTTTACCTAGAAATTCAACATCCAGGAATTTATAAGAAAATGGTAAGGTAGATGCTTAAAGATTTATAGTGGTGAAATATTAGAAACAACCCTAAATGTTCATCAGTAAGGGTAAAATAAATTCACTTATTCGACAATTATTTGTGGAGCACTTACTCTGTGCCAGGCATTTTTCTAGGTTCTAGGAATACAATATTAAGACAGAAAAGGTCCTTTCTTTCATTGTGTTGGAAATGACACAAAATAAACTGATAAATAAGAAAATATTAAGTATTTATAAGTTCTATTGTAAAATTAAATTGGATACTGTGATAAGAACTGAAAGGGGAGTAACTTTTGATTAAGTGGTGAGGAAGGGCTCCTCTGAGGAAGTGATGTTAAACTGCAATCTCTAAATGACAGGAAAGATGCAGCTTGCAAGATCTGACAGAAGAGCATTTGGCATCTTAGGCAAAAGGAACAGTCTTCCACACAGAGGGAACCATAAGTTCAGAGAGGCAGTGTACCAGTCGGTGAAGAGCACAGGCTATGGAACGATGGGGCTAGTAAATGCCTGATTTGGATCCTCTGCTCTGCTGCTTAGTAGTAACTTTAAGCAAACTGCTTAACCACTCTGTGGGGTGTAAATGTGAGAACAAATGTTGGTAAATATCTAAGAATATCTCAAAGCACTAAACGCTATGATAAAATTACTAGAGGCCCGGTGCACAAAATTCATGCATGGGGGGAGGGGATCCCTCAGCCTGGCCTGCACCCTCTCAAATCCGGGATCCCTCAGGGTATGTCCGACTCACTCTCGCAATCTGGGATTACTGGCTCCTAACCATTCTCCTGCCTGCCTGATCGCCCCTAACCCCTCTATCTGCCTGCCTGATCACCCTAACTGCTCCCCTACTGGCCTGATCGCCCCTAACCACCTCTGGCCAGTCGCGGGCACCCGGGGCCTGGGCTTCCCTCCCTCTGGCTGGCCACAGGAACCCAGGACCCAGCCAGCTTCCCCCAGGCCAGCCGCAGCTGCAGGGAACTGTGAGGGGGCGGCTTCGCTCAGGCCACAGGTGCAGGCGCCCAGGACCGCGGGGCAAGCAGCTTGTCCCTCTCCTGGACCGCAGGTGCAGACACAGTCACTGGTGCCCGGGACCACGGGGCAGGCGGCTTGTCCCTCTCCCAGGCCGCAGCCTGTCTGGTCCCCATTCCTCTCTCCCAAGCTCATTTGTGCCTGGCTGGTCCCCATTCCTCTCTCCCCAGTGTTGAGTGTCAGCCGTTACGGGGTGATGGCGTGAGGGCGTGGTGACCATTTGCATATTAGCTCTTTATTATATAGGACTAGAGGCCCGGTACACAAAAATTTGTGCACGGGCGGGGAGGTGTCCCTCAGCCTGACCTGTGCCCTCCCACAGCCTGGAACCCCTTGGAAGATAACCATCTGCTGGCTTAGGCCCACTCCCTAGGTGGCAGATGGCAGGCCTGATCCTGCAGTGCCTGCCCCACCTCCCCGGGTCGCACATAGCAGGCCCGATCCCGTGGTGGGGCAGGCGCTGTCCCGCCCTGCCTGCAGTATGCAAATTTAACGGCCATCTTTGTTGGGTTAATTTGCATACTCTTCTGATTGGTGTAGCGAAGGTACGGTCAGTTAGCATCTTTGTATTTTATTCGTGTCGATGATAAAAATAAGTCAGTAATTTTTACCATCTATGATACCACATAATATGATCTACACTAATAATAAAAGAGAAACATGCAAATTGGTGTCACTCCGCTACACCAACAAGCCATGCCCACCAGCCAATCAGGAGCAAGTATGCAAATTAACCCAACCAATATGGCGGCAGCCACGGAGCTGGAGCGAGCAGGAGGCTTGGGTTGCCCCCAGCAATGGAGGAAGCCAAGCTTCCCGCCCTCCCTGGCCAGTCCTGGCCTCCACTCAAGGCTACAAAGTTTCAATTATAGAAAATAAATAAATCCCAGATACCTGCTTCCCTCCGCTCAAGGAGGTGCTGAAAAAAATAAATAAATAAAAGGAGGGACTGGGAGCTTGGGTTGCCGTGGACCATGACCAGCCTGCAAACAACCATTAGCCCCTCACCCAGGGTGGCCAAGCACCCCAGTGAGGACCCCCACCTTGAAGGGGCTGTGGCCAGCCTGAAAACAACCCTCAGCCCCTCACCCAGGCTGGCCACACACACCCCCAGCGGGGACTCTCACCCCATGGGGGCGTGGCTGGCCTGCAAACCACCACAGGCCCCTCACCCAGGCCACCCCATTCCCCAAGGAAACCCCCACCCTGATCCGGGACATCCTTCAGAGCAAACCAGCCAGCCCCCACCCTTGCACCAGGCCTATATCTATACTAATAAAAGGGTAATATGCTAATTAGACTGGGAGACCTTCCAGGAGACCTTC